GTGTGTCTGTTACGCTAGAAGAGTCAGAGTTTGGGACGGAGTCTTTTACCCCCTGGAGTGTTACCGGAGTTTCTGGAGTGCTCAAATAAACGGGCCTTTTTCCCGAACGCTCCTCTGGTCTCCTGCTCGTGAGGGATTCATTACAATATCGTAACATGGTTTAGATTTCTAAATAAACATTCACCTCGTCGCTAGATAGACCTACTCCTGAAAAACTCGTGCGCAAGGCTTTTTGTCCCTACGAGGCCACCGTCATTTACCCGACGGGAGGGGTGAGCGAGTGAGCCCTGCAATCTAGAATTTGACCACTGATGTCACTGTTTTCAACCCATTTTACACCCTGGCCCTTTAAAGGCAAAAAAAGCCCAAAAATAAATCTTAAAAAAAAAAAAAAAACACATGTAGAAATGTGATTAACTGGATTATAATTGCAGGAAGTATAAAAAGTATAGGGATGGGGTGTTGATTATGCTGGTGGTCACATCTCACAAACACACACCAACTCATCTACAAGTGACATTTATTATCATTTATTACCAAGTTGAAACCAGTAACAAACATTTATGAACAAACGAGGATTAGAGTTTTGTAATGTTCTTGTATAAGGCACAATGTGTCTGAGAAGTTTAAAAGATGTCCTGTGCCTCTTGTGCGTGTGTGTGTGTGTGTGTGTGTGTCTTTTCACAGCTAACTTTACTAGTTTTGTTTATTATATTGTTATTTTCAGTTTTTCCATTTTCCTTCACTGTTTGTAACTCTGGTATTGAAGGCTCTTTATAAATAAAGTGTATTTACTGACTCACAAATGACACAAAACACATTACTGCCAATGGTTTCACACTATTCCACTGACTGACAGGTGGCGATGATGCGCCAAAAACGCTGTAACAGCAGAGAAAGAGAAGAAGAAGAAGACTGCTGGGTGTAAATGATGCAGGATTTAAAATACCTTCTGGGTTCGTTCTGAATCACATACTCTTTCTTTTTACCTTCAGTATGTACAGCTGCTGTCCTTGAGAGAGTGTACTGTTGCATTAGCATGCACACAATCAGGACATGCTACTCCATCATAACGTTACACCCTGAACTTTGACCCTCTTACTCATATATCTGTTACCATGGAGATAAAACAAAACACCATTGACAAAGCTCGCCAGAGACGGAGGTCAACGCGGAGAGATCTGCTGTTGTAGTGACATTACAGAGGCTACACATTTCTCTGTCATTGTTATTTAAGTTGGGACCACTTAAGTCAAAGAAACTTTATTTCAGCATCATATTTGGCGGTATGGCTCTGTTCTGGGGCCTCTGGCTTTCCTCGGGCCTACGCAGACAGCCTAAGGTGGAGGGAGCACACCTCTCTGCATTACTCTGGGACCTTTAACTCTGCTGTCTGATGTCGAGAGCTTAACACTAAAATCAAACATCTGCTATTTCAAACTATTAATTAATTTAATTTAATTAATTAACAAAACCTAAAACAATGAGAAAGTTCATTAAATGGCCATGAAATGTATGTGTTTGATTATATTTATATAGCTTTCCCTTGGGATGTATCTGACTGTCCCCTCCAGGCCACCATAGATAATCTTTGCTCACTGTATCGGGGGCTTTTTGCAGTATTTTTCTGGGAGGTAAAAAAAAATTTGTTTTTCATGAGAAACCAGCGAGCATGCAGCCCGGAGCAGTGGGAAAGAGCTGGCACCACACAGACAACAGAGGAAAATATCAACCCCCACACACACAAACCCACTGCGTCAAATAAAGAGCAAAACAAAATCTCAAACATCTCACAAAATAAGATCCAAAACAATAGATGGAGGAGGTGTGCTGTGGGGTACAGGAGGGTTGAGACGATGACATCATCCTCTGGGTTTTTATTCAGTAAATGTTTCTGTGGTTACCTGAGACTGTCTCACAAAGATCCCGTGATTCTCCTCACAGGTGAAGTAGCGTTTGCCTTGCACAGTGCCGTCGTTCTTGCCCTTGGCCTCGTCCAGGATGACTCCCACCCATTTCCCGGAGGCGAACAGTGTGTTGCCGATGTAGGCCACCGTGCCGCGCTGCCCCTTCCCAATCACCTCCACCAGGGAGCCCACTTTGACGGGCCGCCCTCCCCCGTCCGAGCTCATCCTGCTGCTGCCGCTGCTGGTGGTCTGGGTGGGACAACAAAACACACACATGCTGTTAAAACAGGAAGTCAGGTTCACATCAATGCTGATGGAGGCAGTTTAATTTGGACTTTTAAAGGGGTATTCCACTAAAAATACACATCAGTGTCGCTTTACTGTTCAGAGAGATTCTTCTGCTTGTCAGCCTGTGAAAACAGGAGGGTGTAAATCACCTGTTAGATCAGGATACAATCAGGAGTCTGCCACCATATGATTTCAATTCAAATTCTTGTGATTCAGGGCCCTGTGATCGATATGATGATATTATCTGATCATTTATCACAGTCTGTTACAGAAGAAACTGCCACAACTTTCTGTTTTACTTTTGGCCATAAAAGATAAAAGGGCACATACAGTGCCCTCCAGAAGTATTGGAACAGTCAGTCCAATTCATTTACTTTTGTTGTAGACTGAAAATATTTGGGTTTGACATCAAAAGATGAATATGAGACAAGAGATCAACATTTCAGCTTTTATTTCCAGGTATTTACATCTGGATCTGATACACAACTTAGAAGATAGCATTATTTGTAATGGAACACAAAATTTTTAGGTGAGCAAAAGTATTGGAACATATAAACTTAAAATAGATTAAAGTGAATGAGACTTAATATTTAGTTGCAAATCCTTTGCTTTCAATAACTGCATCAAGCCTGTGACCCATTGACATCACCAAACTTTTGCATTCTTCTTTTGTGATGCTTTTCCAGGCTTTCACCGCAGCCTCTTTCAGTTGTTGTTTGTTTTGGGGGGTTACTCCCTTCAGTCTCCTCTTCAGCAGGTAAAATGCATGCTCTATTGGGTTTAAGTCTGGAGACTGACTTGGCCAGTCTAAAACCTTCCACTTCTTGCCCCTGATGAACTCCTTTGTTGTTTTGGCAGTGTGTTTTGGGTCGTTATCTTGCTGCATGATGAAGGATCTCCCAATCAGTTTGGTTGCATCTTTCTTTAAATTAGCAGACAAAATGTTTCTGTAGACTTCTGAGTTCATTTTGCTGCTGCCATCATGTGTTACATCATCAATGAAGATGAAAGAGCCCGTCCCAGAAGAAGCCATGCAAGCCCAAGCCATGACATTACCTCCACCGTGTTTCACAGATGAGCTTGTATGTTTGGGATCATGAGCAGATCCTTTCTTTCTCCAAACTTTCGCCTTTCCATCACTTTGGAAAAAGTTAATCTTTGTCTCATCAGTCCATAAAACTTTTTCCCAGAATTTTTGAGGCTCATCTCTGTACCTTTTGGCAAATTCCAGCCTGGCCTTCCTATTCTTCTTGCTAATGAGTGGTTTGCATCTTCTGGTGTAGCCTCTGTACTTTTGTTCATGAAGTCTTCTGCGAACAGTAGATTGTGATACCTTCACTCCTGCCCTCTGGAGGTTGTTGCTGATGTCACTAACAGTTGTTTTAGGGTCTTTCTTTACAGCTCTCACAATGTTTCTGTCATCAACTGCTGATGTTTTCCTTGGTCTACCTGTTCGACGTCTGTTGCTTAGTACACCAGTGGTTTCTTTCTTCTTCAGGACATTCCAAATGGTTGTACTGGCTATGGCCAATGTTTGTGCAATGGCTCTGATTGATTGTCCATCTTCTCTCAGATTCACAATTGCTTCTTTTTCACCCATAGACAGCTCTCTGGTTTTCATGTTGGTTCCACCTCTAAATGCAGTCTGCACAGGCAAAACCTATCGTACCCAATCTGAAACTGAGCTCAGACATTCAGTGCTATTTATTGTTTGAATAATCAATGTAATTGGGAGACACCTGGGCAACAAAACACACCTGTCAGTCACATGTTCCAATACTTTTGCTCTCATGAAAAATGGGTGGGTTCAAACAAAAGGTGCTATCTTCTAAGTTGTGTATCAGATCCAGATGTAAATACCTGGAAATAAAAGCTGAAACGTTGATCTCTTGTCCCATATTCATCTTTTGATGTCAAACCCAAATATTTTCAGTCTACAACAAAAATAAAGGAATTGGCCTCACTGTTCCAATACTTTTGGAGGGCACTGTAAATAATAAGAGCAGTAAAGTTGACTTTTAACTGACTTCACTAACACACAGAAAGCAGCCAATGGGATCAGTTAAGCTTCAGGGCTTTCTGTCAGAGAGACCATTCTGGAAGACATCTTTTCATTTTAACCCAAAACATAAAAGGACTCTCTGTCTGTTGACCCGTATTTTCTCCAAAATCCGAAATATTTCCACACTGCTGATTTATACTAGAGTAAATAACGTTATTCTCGTCGTCTTCTTCTTAGCTGCTGCTGAGTGACTGTGACACAGAATTTCAAAATAAAGATGATGATATGGATCGATGATCACTGAATCAATGTACTGATCCAGATCAATGGATCGTTACACCCCAAGAAAACCATTGCATTAAGTTTTCAGTTTCTCTGGAGGAGAGTCGGAGGAAACAACCCTGGTGACAGAGGTGGTTGTTTACCAGTCGAGTCAAGCTGCCACAGGAGCAGAGAAAAAACAGAGCTGCTGCTGGAGCTGACGTGAGCAAGCAGAGAGTGAGTGGGGAAAATGCATTTAATTCAGGGGTCTGCGAGGCTGGAAATAGGACAGTGGCGTGAAGTTCTGCAGAATGGCACGTACAAAGTGCCAACAAGCGTCTGCAGTTGTACATTGTAAAAAATGTGGGCATATTTTTTGTTGCTTGGCATTAGCCACTGGTGTGTTTTGGCCTTCAAATGTGTGTATGATATGATGTTAATGCCACTATAGAAGAGACTTGATGATCCCTAAAATTAGGTGGGAAAAGTTTCTATATATTGATATCTGTATCAGTTATTGGTCAAATGAGTTGTTGCATATCGGCATAGCACCACCACTTTAAAGTTGCATATTTGGATAGAGTAAATATTAACAGCCTAGGAAACATTTTCGGTGTTAAATGTCTCTTAAAGCAGAATCTAATTTCAACCTGATCACCCATGACTTGCAAAAGTTAAATGAGTTCAGTGTCACCTTCACAATGTGATTATCACAGCCACCTTCTGACATGAAAAATGAGCCTGGAGCAACAGGAAAATATTTTGTGAACTGGCTTCAGGTTCAATCACTGCTTCATCAGATAAATCTCTGACATGCAAACTAGGGCTGCAGCGGTAGAACGGTTTCAACGTACACTGAGGTATGAAAACTGTCGGTTATCATACGGTGTACATTTGGTAATCAATGGTGTTAAAAAAACAACGCAACTGGACAGAAAATCTCATCTTTATTTTACTTAAAAAAAATAAATAAAAGACTTTTTTTGCCTTCAATTGATGGAACAGTTGCTCTGGTGTAAGAGAGAGGAGATGACATGCAGCAGAGGACCGTAGGCTGGAAATGAACCTGTGGCCAATGTGACAAGGACAAGGCCTTTGTAAGGGGAGCGCCTCCTCTACCTGGAGCCTCTATTTTACTTATTGTCAACAAGGGAGTCTGTTTACACAACTTTTATTAAGAGGATGGTTTCAAGTTACAGTTATAGTAAAACAAATACAGTAAAATGTTTGTTCAAATAAAGAAAAACCTTGTGTTTTCACCCCTTTAACAGCCATTGTAATTTATAACATTAATAATTCTGTAATATCGTGATACGGTGAAATAAAGACAGTTATCGTACCGTGAAAATCTCATACTGTTGCAGCCCTAAACACACATTTCTCTCTGTCAGAGACTCAGCTATGATCCACAGAGGCTACAGGGCACAGCGTCACACTCTGTGGGTGCACATCTGCATTAAATGTCTCTTTTTCGGGACGGCTGAAGGACAGACAGAACGCAAAGTAGTGTTAATGTCAGTGTGACCCACTGAGCTGCGCAGGACCACACAGGCCTCGTCCTGCACTCTCTAAATGTCAATGCATGCTTAAATCAGCAGCGCTCCTGTTTTCTAGCTTTTGTGATAATTCCATGGCAACAATCACCTGAGGTTTCACTGAAGGTCTGACGTGTCGAGAACAAATCGCACAGCAAAACGTTTCCACGCGAGCTGCAATATTTTGTAATCAAATAATTCTGCATAACCCAATTTACAGTGTGATGTCCTAGAAGTGATGGTGACTCAGCAGAAGAGAGGAGAGGAGCAGATATTATTACTCTGAGAGAGAACCAGCTCTCCTTCAGCTCACTGTAAACACACACAATGTCTCTGTGCTGCTGTTTAATGTAAAGGTTAAACAACCAGCAGGACGGTCGACCACAACAGACAGACAGACAGACAGACAGACACATTAAGGCTTTAAAATACTAAGATTGCATTTACTGAGATACTGTGTCTCGTCCACTGCAGGTTTCTGTGGTCATGTTGCAGTTCTTTGTACGTCACAAGTAATTTTATTTAACGAGTCTCTGCTGCTTAACTTGTTGATCTCCCAACAGATAACACTAATTTTATTCATATTAATAACAAAGTCCTTGGATTTCTTCGATTATTTTGGGGCTTTTATTGCCTCTGTTACAGTGCAGCCTAAGAGTGACAGGAAGGTGAAAGAATGAATGGGGACGACATGCAGCAAAGTCGAACCGAGGCCGCTGCTAAGGACTCAGCCTACAGGGGCCGGACACTCTACTTGCTGAGCTACAGGCCAACCCAGGATTTCTTGGATATTTGAGGCTGTTACCGATATTGATATACCAAATCTGGTCCCTGACCAGTTTCTAATTCACAGGAAAAATAAATAATATTAATATAATAATCATATTCACACTGGGAATCTTTTTGTAAAATACATGAAGCTAACTTTTCACCACTGTGCAGCAACCATCCTGACATCCACCTACCCACAAGAGCATTCCCCAAAAAGTAACGGAAGTATTTCTTCCTCTGACTACTTGAAGCATATCTTTAATATGTCTCTCCTGTAATAAAAAACAAGTTACTTACTGGCACTGTGTCAGTCAATTCTGCACAATAAATAATAATACTTCATGCACTGATATCAGCCGATACTCTTCTTGTTGACTGCCGTGAGCTAATCGGCAAATAAGTTGACGTCACCGATGGCAGCCGCCAATGTTTTTCTGTTGTATTGCATCAATGTTGGCTAAATGTTGGTTATTTGCAGTCAGACTCAGACCACAGCAGCGAGCATACCGAGCTGCTGATTCGGACAAGAAGCCACTGGCTGAACCCAACTCTGGTGTGAACTAATAGGGCAATGAATGCCATGTGCACATGTAGGTTGTTTTCATGTTTGGTTTCAGTGATCAGTTGGTGATAATTTTGTTTACTTCAGAAATTGATGAAATGCTGTGATCTAGGCTTGTTGTATGTATTTTTAAAAGGTTTTTTTTTAAACTCCTTAAAATCACGAAGGCCTCGCCATGTCCTGTGAAGCTCTGGCCACCCCTACTGGGCATCAGGACCCACAAGTTGGGACCAATGGTTCATTGAACACAACAGGCACTGTTCATAACTGTTGGTGAAGCCAGTGAGGGATCATATCTTTGTCCTCCCCCAGGACAACAGTGGAGACAGCAGTGAAATGGAAAGCAAAAGGACTGGCCTGGAGAATTAGAATTAGAATGAATCCTGGTGCCTATGAAGGGTGATTTATGATTTTATTAGCTTATGTGTAACATCAGCTACACACACAGGTCCACACAGGAACACTTTTACAGGTACCGACCAAAATTCCTCAGTACTACTGTGAACTGATTCACATTAAATCAATCGGGGTCAGATTTTGGTACCTGAGAGTGCATCTGACTGAGAATGCCAGGTTCAGACAATAGTCAGAAGCTCTGGAGCTCCGTCAGCTTCCCAACGAGCTGAAACTATCGCTGTGGCACCGATAGTCAGGGACGGGAATCGAGAACTGGTTCCAGTTGAGAATCGATAGCAAAAATTGAATCAGAGTTGTATGCCTCCAAGCTTATCAATTCCTTTTCTGAATGCCGGCATGTCTCTCTGAAAATTGCACATTGCCAAACTATAACCTCAACTGTCTTTGCTGCTGAAAACTTGCAACAAGAAGGAGTCACGGCGGAGAGGAGGAAATAGTCCATGTCCTTTTTTTCCCTGTGTTTATACAATGTAGACTGCGTTCAGACTCAATAAAGGAATCAATAAGACTGATTAGCATTGTTATCAGTTAAGTCTTACTGATATCAAACCCTACATTGGACCTTTTCTTTTTAACCACATTGAAACCAAAACTCAGAATCAGTAAGAACCAGAATCAATAAGCAAAAACAGAATTAGTTTCAGAATCGCTAAAATTCAAACGATACCGAACCCTATCGATAGTTCTATTGGCAATAGCCACAAATCACTGCTACTGTGTTCTTTAACTTAACGTACTTATTCCACATATCTTTCAGTTGTATCTATACAGAGAGTGAGAGAGACGAGTGGACACACACACAAGCAAGCAGCCAAACAGACGCATTCCCCGATCACACAGCTAGCGTTTTAGCAGCAGAGGCATTTTTTGTAATAGTTTTTAATGAGAATGAAACTTTTTGCTCGCTGTGTTTTGCATTGCGATGTGCCTCACTGATCTGCGCTCTAGGCACCTGGCGTTTTTACCAGGGTGCTCTGAACTCAGCAAGTTGGAAAAAAAAATGCAGGAACTTGATCGGATAGTTTCAGAGGCGGACCTTCTGTGGTGGTCACAACAAGTTTACAGTTGGTTAATTGGTCCATCGGCAGGCCCGATGGACTCCCTGTGGTTAGGATTCATTTTTGTTATGCTAGGCCTGACAATAGTCAACAGGTTGTCAAACTGCCCCTGAGTCATCCTAAAATACACCTGTAAACGTCCATGATGGAGGAGAAGCTCCTGGACCAACTGGTGGTACTCCCCATGATCCAGCCTCTTTTTTAGGGTCTCATGTACCCACACAGATCTCTGTTTATCTGCTGACAGCCTCTCACCCTCAACCAGAGCTACAGACAGCACCCTCTGCCTCAACATGGCAGCAGCTACACACTGTGAAAATAAGAGGGTAGTTTTAGCCAAAATTATCTGTAGGTTGATGATTGATTATTCGAGGCCTTAGTTCTACATGTAATTAAAAAAAAGAGCAGAGAAGCAGAATCGCTTGTTGACTGGTGTTGAGCTTAGAGATGTAGACAGAAGGCAAGACTACGTCACTCCTGCAGCTTCTTCAAAAATTACATTTCTGTTATTAGAAGTACCGAAAAAAGGTACCTTTTGGGTACTGGAACCGAATTCCAGGTGCTGGTGCTGCTTCTGGTTCAAATGTGAATGGTACCTAACCCTCATACCTACAGGCCTCAACAGTCAGCCGTCCATAATGCACAGGACGAGAGCATTAAATCTAAGTAAAGGTTGGAATGCGGTCATGTAAAGAGCGTTTTGTTTCAATGTTCTTTAAGCTCAAAGATGGTGTCGCTTCTTAAGAGGCATTTCTGAACGACTTAAATTTTTCAACCACAGCTGCAGAGTTACCGCTGAAAACACAGACACCATGTATGAGGAGAAATATTCTCAGCCACAACACTGAGGGAACAGGTTGTTACTTATATACAACATCAGCTTCTTTCTAAAATAAAATATCATCAATATGCCGAAAGATTTTGTTGACAACATGAAATATAAAGAAAAGCTGTCCCTCTTGTAGCCATTCATCTCATCGACGTACATACACAACCAGACGTCTTTAAACAGCTCCAGATGATAATCTTTTACTAACATCACAGCTGAGATATTCAGATATGTAACAGCCATTATGCCAAACCCTGAACTCCCATAACTGCTTCAAGTCTAATTATCCCATCTTATAATTCGTGACGGAAAGAGACATTTTAACCGGTTATGTGCAGTAAACTCGACTTGAGTCTTTGTGAAGCATTTTCTACCTCAGCGTCAGGTCTTTTATTCAGGCTTTAACATCTATTTAAATCCATCAACTCACTTCAGATTCATAAGAGAAGCAGGAACCTGCGGCTGCTTCAGGGACACGACTCACATGCACCTGTCAACAATCTGCAATCACACATCCATTGAGGTTTATGACTTCTTTAAAAAGTCATAAATGGGCCGCTGTGCTCCGACAGGCTGTAACGAAGCCTTCAGTGTTGTTCAGTCAACCTGTTTGCCATGTGCTGGTGGCAGAGACGACCCGAGGAGGGCGTGCTGAATTATTTAGTGCCACTCTACTCTTAAAACACGCGAGCTCACAACAACTGTACCTCTGATAGAAGATGAAAACAGTGATACAGCCTCGGTGTTGGTATCGGACCCTACTGCTTTGTTTTCACTGAAAAGTAAGCCACTGAAATGATGTCACACACACAGTTTTAATAGAGCGACACCCTGTTATTCAGGCTGAATCACAAAGTATACAGTCTGAGGATTGTTACTGGTGAGTGAGGGTTTTTTGGGATCCAAAGGAGCAGCTGAAATGTACTGTATGAGCACTGATGTCATCCCTCATGGTGACAGGAAAGCTGCCTGACTCAGAAACGGATGACAAACAGGAAGTCTCCAGTGTCCACAGATAACAAAAACCCGTATGGTCCCATTACCTGCCTGTCACATATCTCTATCTGCTTCTTTACAGTGTGGAGTCGTCACAGAGGGTCTGAACCTCAACATCCCAGCGGCAACGTTGAACCCAGAGGGGCATCTGAGCCGAAACAAAGAGGGGACAATTGAGACAGAGGAATGCAGCGCTGAAATGGATTAGAAACCCTCCTATTCAGGTCAGAAATGGACAGGGAGCAGATGACAGAGTGAAACAAATTGAACAGACGTAACAGAAACAATGGCGCACCGATCAGGACTAACTTATAACACCACAGTCTGGCCCGTTCCTACACCTCACTGGGATGGATAAACACCTTGTACGCACTCACCCGGCTGTATGTGCTCCTCCTGGTCTGTGACATGTTTCCTGGTTGCCCCTGAACCGCCTGTCTCGAGTGTTATTCGGGAGAGCGTCAGCCAGACAGAAGGGGGTCTAGGAGAGGGGTGTGGGGGGTCGGTGATGCTGCTGGAGCGTCTCCCTCTTCCTCTCTCTTTACAGAATCACACCATCCCTCTCCTGATCCTCACAGCACAGCCTGAGCTCTCCAAACTCCTCGTCCCTCCTCTCTGCTGCTGCCAGAGGAAAGCCGGCAGGATCTTTTTGGCTCGGTCAGAAAGTTTCTGGGGAGCAGACGGTGGACGATCCACCCCTCCGATTGAATGGACCGGAGTGAAAACAGCGGAGCAGAGACAGAGGGGAAAAACATCCAGGCTCGGTCTGCTGTGAGTGCATCAGCTGAGCGGCAGCACTGCTCTGCGCTAGTGTCTGCGCTGGCTTCTGCAGGAGGGAGGGTGGTTTAGGCCCAGACTGAGGCGCTGGGTCCTAGAGCCTGCAGATACGCCTTTTAAATGCATCTCAAAATAAACCTGACAGTCATTATTCCCATGCATGTCCTCCTGAGTTAGTGTGATGCAGAGTTATCTTGGACTTTTTTGGGACAGCTCTGGCTGATCAAAGAGCATTTTTAAGTCCTGATAAGACAAATCATATAACTCTCTGAGAGCCACATAGACAGATTTTTGTCTTTTTTGAGGGTGGGCAGGGGATCTTTAGGGGGAGATAGCAGGCCAACAGTATATCTCACATACAAGAGGTGTACATCATCTGAAAACAGGGAACCTGAAGATTAATTTGAGATGCAGCTCAGCAATGTGGGTCGAATTTTTTGTAGAACTAATAAACACTGAGTTTTGGTTGGGTGCCTATTGAACCTTTTAAGGTTTAAAACAGGGGGGTGTCAAACTCATTTTAGTTCATGTGTCACATTCAGCCCAATTTGATCTCAGATGGGCCGGACCAATGAAACCATCGCACAATAACCTCAATAACATCAGCTCCAATATTTTCCCTTTTTATGTGTAAAGAATTTCAAGTACATCCTGTGAACGTTCATCCTTTTACAAAACAGATGAACAGCCTGAGATGTCTCCAGAAAATAATTTAAGTTTCAACAGTATGTCTCAGTTTTTCCACATTAAGTCAGCCTACCTCTTACTGTCATTACATGTACATTTATCCGTACATTTCCTGTTACTGGTGTGATACAGATTATTTAAAACTGAGTGTGTTGCTCGACTATATTTTGCACAACGTTCTGTATCTTTAAACATGGTCACAGTGAGTATTCATTGTTATATCAGAGAACTAAATTCTGGTCAGCACTGAAAAGCCTCTGAAGCAGAATTTTACGTAAGTACTGTAGGCAACGCATTGTCTAGCTTGCTCCTGAAACCTGGCACCTTTTGGTCTAGTCATCTAGTGGGCCGGATTGGACCCTTTGCCAAGCCAGTTCGACACATAATGTTTGACACCCCTGGTTTAGAACATCATGATGAAAGTGTATGACGGACATTCCTACGCTCATTTATGTCTCATAAGTTGCTGCAACATTTTCTGGGTCGATACCATTTGTTTCACAGATTTGGTGCATAAATTTAAGCATTTTTTTACCACTGTGCTGCCACCCATGTTGTGATTTGGTATCAAAAATTTCTTACATCTGGAGATTTCTGTAAGAACTGCATTTTTGGAATTGCAAGAAATTGCATTTTTTGGTTACTGGATGGCGAGCACTTCTGTTCTCGAGACCAGGTATGCACCTATCCAATATCTGGATTGCATATCGGCCCTGATATCGTCAAAATAGATGGATCGGGTACCGGAAAATGCAACCTATACCTGAGGCGATCCTTAACCTTTAAATCTATTGCGACACGAGCTACGTCATAAGAAGGAGAGAATCTGCTGTGTGGAGGTATTTCACACTGTTTCAACTGCTGTTGCACAATTGTTTATTTTTGTATTTTTTTTTAGGTCAACCATGGTATCGGATCGGTATCGGGTATTGGCTGATACTCAAAGCCACAGCATCGGGATCAGTATTGAAACTGAAAAAGCTGGATCAGTGCATCTCTACTCCTGACTGAAACCCCCTTATTGTCAATACACCTATGAAAGCCATACATCTCTGAATGTCAGAGGTCTCTAAGTTTTGGGTGTTAAGTGTCATGAGGCTGTGATTATCCTAGAGGTCACAACAGGTCATTTTATACAGTGATGTCCACTTCAGTGACATGGCTACTTTGAGGACGAACATCATCACACATGAATAAAACTGGGCTTGTTGAAAACACAAGAGTCTCAGCTTTCTAATTTATGCAATTCCTAGACTGTTTACGGACCCCAGTATGCAAAATTATTCAAATACATCAAGCCAGACAAACACATTTAGACTGAATGCAAAAAACTAGGGATGCATGATATTGGATTTTTGCCGATATCTGATATGCCGATATGCAACGATGCATTTGACTGATACCGATATCCATATATCCACTCTTTTCTCCACCTAGTTTTAGTGATCATCAAGTTTCTTCTGTAGTGGAATTAACATCATATTATACAGACTCTTATGGTGACGGCCCACCAGCAGACGGAGACATGAAATACTGTTCAACATATATAATATTCACAGATGATGTACTGATATTATTGTGCATCCCTACAAAAAAACTGCACAGGTTTTGCCCACAACAGCCTGAGACTAGCACAAGATGGGCATGTCTGTAAAGGAGAGACTCATGGGCACCAACAGACCCTATTTTCATTCAGATATCTTGAGGTGAGAGGTCAAATTTAGCCTAAATTCGGGGCATAATTTAGCCCCTTCCCAAGAAGCTAGCATGAAATAGTTGGTACTGCTAGATTCCTTAGGGTCATGTCTCATGTGATACCTGTATCATCACTCTGGCTCTAACACACAGCCTGTTGCAGCCTCTTAAAGACAAGAATGTTGGTCAAGATCTCCAGCAGCACGATGGGTCTCAGAGGGGTTGAGGTACGAAACGTTTTAATAATCACATCATTGTTAAATTACCAAACAGTCAACAGAAACAACTTCTTTAAGGCCCAGTGTAGCAATGAGACATCATTAAAGAGCCCAGATGTGTCGTTCACTGCAGTCTTCATCAGACTGCTGTCAAATATCTTCAAAAAACACTTTTTCTTTCTGCTGTGAGGAGCGTGAACGCTGGCAGGAATAATTAAAAAACAAAAACACGGGCAGTAAGCATTTTTTAGCCGGGGGGGTGGGAGGGATGATGGGGGGGATAGTGGGGGGGATAGTGGGGGGGTGGGGTGATCCAGTTCAACTCAATCCGATGCTGTTTCATTGTGGCTGAACACAAAAGACCCAGGTGATGCTCTGTAATGCAGCACACTGTAAGCAAAGGCCAGCGGATTGCATTCGGGCCCCGCCTGATGCCACGGCCCCGTCACAGAGCGAGGATTAACTCTCCTTTATCAGCTTTTATCAGCTAACTGCACGGCTGGGCCTTTTTAACTCTCAGTCCTCTCTGTTTCTGTGTTGTCATCTTTTTGCTTTGGACGCAGAAGCTGCGGGGTTTCTGTGGAAAAGCTTTCAGCTTAAAGGGCAGCGAGAGATGCTGTAAGTGTGTGCACTGGGACAAAAGAGACCCAGCCTTCAGGAGGGGGGGCATGTTTCCAAATAATATATCACTCATAAAGCTTCAACAACCAAACGTGGACCAGGACAACAACATGTCCTGTCTGTAGGCTCAGTGTTGTCCCCACACATACAGCAGGGATGTCCTGATGGAGTCAGTTTGTGGCTTCACATAAAACAAACAGAATCTTAAAACAGCCTCAATAAACAAACTACAGCCTCAGATTTTAGACCTGGGAGCGTTAAACACAGTCAAGGATGTTTAGGGACACAAAATAAATCTCTGCAGTCTCTTTGCACCCTTTTATGCAAATGACGAAGGCAGAACCAAAAGAGGGGGCGCAGGAGAATTGTGGGAGGCGGAGGGGAGACGAGGAGCCCTTATCTCTCACTGAGGAAATAATAATGAGACGACCAGCACACAGCCAAAAATCAGAGAACTGCCGATTTGCAGAAGACGAGGACAATGGCAGAGAGAGAGAGGCGTCACCGGCTCAGACAGACACCGTCTGCTGCTGCGAGCCTTTTCAGACCGCTGCACAGGACAGAGGTGACACTCTGGGATTTTAGGAGGAGCGTTACGACCACACTGCACCTTCGCCGGTCTGTTGGTTCGGGAGACCTCCCAGCAGATCACTAAACAAGGTAAAGATGTCTACTTCGTGGAAGCTGGGGCTCATTTAGGGGAAATATGATTTAAGTTTGGTGTGTGAGAATGAAAGTGTGCGCACATAGACAGTTGAATCGTGGGCTGAGATGCAAACTGCTGTGTCAGGAGTCATTAAGGTGTAGTAGAGAGTTCTTAAAGGGATAGTTTGGATTTTTTTAAGTGGGCTTGTGTTTGATACTCCATAGACAGTGTGTTATATACAACAGATGTCACTTAGCACACCCCCTGTTTGGAGAAGCAGGCTAGAGACTGATGTGAAAGCTAAGCAGTGTACTGCTGTGGGCGGGGTCAGCAACAAAATATATCTTAGCCACCTAAAAAAATCAACATCAGTTTAAGTGTACGCTACACTGAGAGCATTTTCACTGCTTTACCTTTCTGTCAGACAGCCTGTTCTGACAGGAAAGCCATTAACCGCTTCAGTTCCCAATCTTTGCTCTCTTCAAAACCAGACTCCATTGAAAAAAACAGTAATTTAACATCAGTGAACACAGGAGCTGCTGGTCTACTGCTGCCTCCATTAGTTAGTTAGTTTGTGTTACTGTGTGACTGATGAATCTGAATGAACTCTTTAAACGCCAAACTCACACAGCAACATAAATTAACTAACTGATGGAAGCAGCAGTCGACCAGCAGCTCCTGTGTTGTGCAACATTAAAACACTGAGTCTGAATTTGAAGATACAACAGCAATATAATGGCTTATAATTTTCTTTGGTGCCTATAATTAAATATTTTGTTGCTGACCCTATCCATAACAGTACATTGCTTAGCTTTACTGTCGGACTCCAACCTGCTTCTCCAAACTGTGTGCCGACTATCCTGTCTATGGATAACTGCCTCATACAACTGCAATTCGCAAAAACTTAACTATCCTTTAAGTACGTCACAAAACACAAAGAGTTTCATTTTGGGCTGCAAATAAAAATCAGTTTTATTAGAAATTAATCTGTTTAATAGGGATGCACGAAAATATCAGTACGTCATCTTTATTGGCTGATATTAACTTTAAAATGAACTATCAGAATCAGCCATCATTGTTTTTTCTTCTTTTGCACAATGAATGAATATTACAGACACTGAACAGTATTTCATGTCTCCATCTGCTGGTGGGCCGTCACCATAAGAGTCTGCATGTATATGATGTTAATTCCACTACAGAGGAGACTTGATGATCATTGAAATAAGGTGGGGAAAAAGGTGGATATATAGGTATATATGTGGCTATATATATATATATATATATATATATATATATATATATACACTCACATAAAAGTGGATATATTAAGAAATAGCTTCAGTTTAAAGTGTATTTTACCAGCACAGAGGCAAAACAAATCTGTTCAACTACGGTCCATGATCCTGGAATGATCTGCAGGCCGAACTCGAAACCCTGTCTCTTTAAATTTTAAACATAGAATAAAGGAAGTGGGTTTTTTTCATTGAAAATTAAATGAAAAAATTAACATTGCCCTAAAATCACAACTTATATTGTAATATCTGTCAAAATAATCACAATTCGTTTGTTTGGCATATCGTGCAGCCCTGGTGTCAGCTCTAATATACAGCGTTGCCCACATGAACCTAAATTGAATGAATCTAAAAATGAAATTTTAGGCCTATTATTCTGGTGACACGGTGGGGCAGTGGTTAGCATTGTCACTTCACAACAAGGGGACTCCTGGTTTGAACCCAGGGTGGGGTGACCGTAGGTGTGAATGTGAGTGTGAATGGTTGTCTGTCTCTATGTGTCAGCCCTGTGATAGTCTGGTGACCTGTCCAGGGTGAACCTCACCTCCTGCCCAATGTCAGCTGGGACAGGCTCCACCCCCCGTGACCCCCAACAGGATAAGAGTTTACAGAAAATGAATGAATGTGTCAATGTCTCAAATGTGAGGATTTGCTGTTTTTTTTAGTTTTATAACACTAATATATTTGGGTTAATAAGCTACTCCAGAGTATCACATGGATAGTTTGATTTCTTTTAACATTTATTTTATTCAATGATTAATTAACTAAAAAATAAATCAGTAGATGAACTGATGATTAAAGCAGCTCTGTTTCCACACGTCTCCTCCTCTCCTCCAGATGCATGTTAATGATATTCAGCCTGGTCTCAACACTCAGCGTGCAGACAGGAAAACTAGGTCATCCATAGAAAACAGGGGCAGAGCCTGTTCATTCCTGTGCATCCCTCCAGTGTGCATCACATCAGCATTAACGTGTCCATTTCACCTGCACAGTCATCAAAAAACCCTCACTAAATATAAACAAAGGTGTCCGTGTGTCATATAAGAGCTAAATCTGTCATTTGGTGCCATCTAGTGAGTTCAAAGCCCAGAGACCACAGCTCCACAGACACCCTGCTGCCTCACTGACCAACTAAATCTGATTTCAGACATTTATTTTAAACAATCAGCAGCTATTAATCAAAGAAAATCGAAATAAAACTCACATTGTGTCTGCTGGGAGCCATAATAAATCCCAGCATGGGTGTGGCTGCAGCCTGACATGACATTTAGTGCCCCACAGATTAACACAATTGGATGAGAAATTAGGAGAAAACAATCTGAGCTGGAGATTAATTCATTTAAAGGAGAATAAGCCGAATCATCCAAATTAAAGCTGGATATGTGGACACACACCGCCCCAATAATCACCTGCCAAAGCTCATTAAATATTCCCAATAATCTGGACTCTATCATTAGTTGATCTAATGTGCAAATATTTCATTTTAAAGGCGATGACAGGTGTTTAAAGCCTCGGTGCTGTGTGTGATGTTGGTGCTGTCAGCTGTCACTGAGACACTCCCTGACCAGCTGCTAGCACATGTAGCCGTTAGCTTCGGTTAGCTCTCTCACACAAAAACACCTCATAATGAGTTAAAGTTAAAAAGACACACACGGATATATTTCTACACAGGTGTGTTTAAGTGTTGTGGATTTATCCCCCGTGCTGCACGTGACATGTGAGCGGTAAATCTTACCTGTTAGTGTGATAAAATGTCCGGCTAACCGCTCAGCTCCGTCCCTGACAGGCTACATCCATCCATGGAGGTCTGACCGGACTCATCCGTCCTGAGGTGTCCGAGCTGCTGCCTGCCTCGGCCCGCCTCACACACACTGAGGAGCCCGGTGATAGTTTTAAATCAGACTGTGAGAACACTGAATTTATAGGTGAGGATATTACAGCTGGCAGGTTTAAACACAGGTGTACAGTTAATGATGTTTTATTAGAGGAGAGTTTAGAACACCTGTTTTATTTTGTCTTGTAAAGCACCGTTTAAACTTAAATTAGGGACTGTTCTCTACTTACCAGAAAAGAGGGAGGCTGAAGTGTGACTTTTGTTTTTATTGTTTTTTTTTCTGTTTGTTTGTTTGTTTGTTTTTGACCCTCCCTGAGTGACTGTAGGAAAATCCATGACCCTCCCTCCACCATAAATGACTTATTAGTTTTTTTTTTAACTTAACCTTTGAAGTCGGAAATTTAAAAGTTAAAGATGAAATCCTTGTTTTTTTCCTTTTTTTTTAGGATAAAGTGATTCTGATTAAATATCACTATTTTAGGTCAGATTTAGTTATCATGTTTTTTTGTGATGGAAAGGTTGGTCGCACATAATGAACCAAGGACCATCGGAAATTTGAAAATCCAATTATTTTTTCTAGCCTCTTTTACACTGCCAGATTTTCCACGAATGTTGGGCCGTTTTGCCGGCAAGCTGCGAGCGTTTAGACACACACAGCCAGATTGGTGAGTTGATCCGAGGTGCCCAATTTTCCACCTCGTAGGGTAGACATATTGGTGGAACCCTTTTAGTTTAAACAGAACGAGGCGGCCTTCTGCAACGGGAGGGGCTGTTGATGACTTGTGGGAGGTGGATAAACAGGAAACAGCTGATAGCAGGAATTAGCGAGCAGCTAGTAGCAAGAGGGAAACACAAACCTGACAGACACTGTAAAGATGAGCAACTGGGGAGACAAGGAATTGCGCGCCCTCCTTGTCGTCGCAAACGAAGAGGCCATTAACCGTCAGATGACGGGGACGGTGAAGAACGGGCCGACTTACGAGGGACTGACCAGCCAAAAAGGCGCATTCTGTATAAACAAAAGTAGGTAGGCGGCATTTTGCTGCACTCCCTGATTCTGTTTTTATACTGCCAATGCTGAAAAAAGACTGATTGGGCTTTCCTGCAGATGAATTCCTGTCTAAAAAGGGCTGTTGATTGTACAGTTTCTGGCTGTGATACATAGTTTTATTCAGTGATTTTAAAAGGAGACATGCCCTCCAAGCCCGCGAGTTTGGAAGGTATGTTTGCTTTAAAAATAAAAATTTCTTTCAATACATACAAAATACATGCCGTCCCAACCCATGATCAGATACAATAAGTACAAAATACAACCATGTAAACCATTTGTTTGCTTCTCCCCAGGCAAAAAAAGAAAAACACTAGTCCCCCACCACTGCTTAAAAAAAATTATCTGACATGCCTCCCCCTTTTTGCACCACCCTCTCTCTCCTCATAAATATAGAACAGTCCCTTAGGTCTTTTTTTTTTTTTTTACTCTTCAAACATGAAGAGTAAGGGGTAAGTGAAACGAGAATCGGGGAAATTAATTGTCAATTAAAGTTTTTGTGAAAGCTACAATATTCCCTGAAATAAAATTTAAAAACTGCGTAAAATTAAAATATATTTCAACAGCAGCTCCTGTGTCTTCATTTGTTTTATGTGGGTTTGTGTGGAAGGTTTCAGCAAGTGTTTCATGATAGGTTTTCTGTATTTTATTGTTTTCTATTTTCAAGTCTGACTATGTTCTGTTTTTCTTTGTCATGTGGATATGAGACAGATGTGTCCTTGGAGACAATGAAGCCTAAACTTTCCTGATTTAAATCAGACATTTGATATGAAACAGAAATATTCATGATCATCTGTAATGAAAAAAGGAAACCGCCTCACAGTTTGTGAGCATCAGGGTGGAACAGTGTGTCATCCTGTATGAAAACAAACCCCTGAGCAGAACCTCAGCACTGCCTGAAACCATCGATTTGTGATGCAGTTCCCGGCAGGATCCTCGCCCTGCGGCCACAACCTTCCTCTGGCTCTTGCACAGACGAGACTTGTTCTTCCTGTTTGGCTGAACAGATGTTTGACTCTTTTAGAGGCACAAATGTGGTGAAGATGAAAAATGTAAAGCTGTAGGCTTCAGAATGAACACCTGGAAAATGTTATAACTCCTGTATGAGCACATCTGACAACTGGTGATCCAGTTTGCTGTAGATCTGCTGACTGAGAGAAAAAGAAACTGAAAGGTTTGTTTTTAGATGAAAAGATGAAGTAAAATTACACATGCATGTCAAACACTGTGTCAGAGGACTGTTTGTTAAATATCAAAGAGCATGAAGTGCAACTGCAGCAAAACTGAAAGCTGAGAGCAGCAGAGGATTCGACTTCCTCAGGTCAGGTTTTCAGCTGATATGGAGCCAATGTAAAGTTTGTTATTTAATCATTAAAAGTATAAAATCAGACCTAAAACGTATCAATAAATTAAGGCTCATCGTCTCAGTTTCCATGCAACATAATGTAATAGATATATGTAAGGTAATACGAGGTCATGAGGGATTTTTTGGGGAGTTCTTCCTGATCAGCTGTGAGGGTCCAATGACAGAGGGATGTTATGTGCTGTAAAGGTCTCTGAGGTTTATTGAGTTGTAATATTGGACTTTATAGATCAAACTGATCATGAAATTGATTTGAAATTAGTATCTGCAATGAACAATGAACTTTGACTTTACTGATCTGTACAGCACTTTAGTTGCCTTTGGGTATGAAATGTTATATAAATAAAATTTCCTCGCCTATTGTGGCACTAAAAAGTCCATGACTGAATATATATATAACTGACGACAGAAACGCTGACAGTGACCAAATGAAACCCCATGACCCCCATAATGAGATCAGCACCAGGGCCGACACTAATCCAGTGTGTCGGATTGGTCAGCGCTGAAAAATGTGAAAAAATGAACGCTGCAAACTTGTGAGTGCATGTTCAGATCTATTGATTTATTCTACAGATCACAGAGAAAGGAAATCTTTTACAAAATTAAATAATCAACAGTCAACACAAACTGTTTAAAGGAAAACTTTGTCCCCCAAATTGACCATTTGTGTATCAGTCACTCTCCTTGTGTTAGGCTGAATTCATATGGAAAACTTTTTCTCGCATGCCTCCACGGTGAGTGAAGAACATTCAAAACATCTGTTTACAGACTCACACAACTTGTACAGTACAATACAAGTCTTATTTATCCAGTCGTGTGTTCAGTACTTCACAGACAGACAGACCTCTGTGACGGGGAACTGGAGTTTCTTCAAAGTCAGACTCCATTGACAAAAACAGTGATTTAACACAGCTGAACACGGAGCTGCTGGTCTACTGCTGCCTCCATTAGTTAGTTAGTTTGTGTTACTGTGTGACTTTGGTGTTGTAAAGAGTTAACTCAGATTCACCACAGTCACACAATAACACAAACTTACCAACTGATGGAGGCAGCAGTAGACCAGCAGCTCCTGTGTTCAGTGAGGTAAAATCTCTGCTTTTGTCAATGGAGTCTGGCATTAGCTTTCTGTTTAGTTCCCCGTCAGAGAGGACTCTGTTTGTGTCGTACTGAGCATACGACTGGATAAATGAGACTTGGATTATACTGTACATGTTGTGTGGGAGTCGTAAACGCAACTGGACCCCTATGACTTCAATTCATTGAGAGTTTTCTCAGTTTTTAGATCACTCGCTCGCTATGGACGCATGCGAGAAAGACACAGTTTAATTCATGAATTCAGTGTAACACAGGGTGAGTAACTGATACACAAATGCTCATGTGAGAGGTGAAGTCTTCCTTTAACATGACCATGAACAGAGCAGATATTTCCAGTGATAATAAATGATCAGTCTGTCTCCTGTGTGTATCTGTAACAACAGTGAACATGCCTAACCTTTAACTGCAGGTGTGTGGAGTAAACAGTACCTCATATGGATGCTGTCATTGAGCTGAGTATTTGGTTGGCTTAACTGTAATGCATGCTGGGAAAAAGTTAACATAGAAGCTGGATGAATGGACGATACTGTGGACCTCGAATGTTACACAGTCTCTGTGTGTGTCTCAGTTCACGACCACTCAGTCACTTTTCTCATCTCTCTGTAAATCCAGTCTGTACTCGAACATCGTGAAGTTCATGATTCTGAACGGAAGCTCAGGAAGGAGGAACTCTCTGATCTTGCTGTAGCCCATGTGCTCATACAGCTTCTGAGCGTCTGTCTGCACCACGGACGTGTACAGGACGACGGCTGCGTAGCCCCTGTCACGAGTGAAATCACCTACTGTCCGACACAAGGCCTTGGCAATGCCCATCCCGCGGTGGCTGCGGTGCACAGACATGCGCTTCAACTCCAAGCACCCGGGCGCGTTTTCAGCGGGGAGGCAAGCCACCGTGCCGACCACCCGACCATCGACTTCAGCCACCCAGAAACACGAGTCCTTGTCCTTCAGGTAGGTCTCGCCGATGTTGTTGAGGTCTTTCTTGAGGGAGGTTTCGATGTATCTGTTGAACATGTAGACGACAAACTGCCGGGCCGCTGCCAGGATGAGGGTGATGGCGAGGATGGGTAACAGGAAGGACTTGGAGCTGGTCATGAGAGCGCAGAACATGCACATGAGCACCATCTGGGTCAACGGCTGTTTCAGGACGTGCACGAAGGACGAAGGCACGTGCTCGCTCATCCCCAAGGTGAAGATCTCCTTCGCTGTCTCAGCGTCGTCATCCTGATACTTCCGGATCTGAATCGTGGCCATGGCTCAGCCCTGCGTTAGAAACAAGAGGAAGACAAAATGTGAGAGGTCACAACATACACGTGACTGTAAATCAGTTTGTAATCATGTATTTATTCTTCTCAGCATCACACTGTGCTGACACCTGTCCCTCTGTCTCTAAACTGTGGTGCATAAAATCATTAAAGTGACTTTTTATGTAAAGTTTAAACCATTTTCTGTCATATTCTCTGTTTTCTGTGAACTGAATAATTGAGATTTTTAGTTTCCTGGTTCAACTACTGCTCACAGTGGTGTCAGATATACTGTACAGAAGTAAAGCTGAGAAGTTTTGTCACTTTATAAACCAGTTTGTGAAACTTTATAGACGACTTTCAGTTCCTTAAATACAGCACATTTTGGTCAGTTTATGAGACAGCTGCAGTAGCTACATGCTAAACATATGATTTAATAACTGGTCATATGCTGTACAGCACTGCTGTTAGAATCCTGACCGATATACAAGCTTCTAACAGATATACTGTATCTCAGCATTGGTGTTCATAAGAGGCCATAAGGGACTGTTCTTTATTTTTCAGAGGACGGGATGGCTGGGGTGTGACTTCAGCAAATAGCTGCAAATATTTCTCCTTGACCCTCCCTGAGTGACTGGAGGAAAATCCATGACCCTCCCTCCACCATAAATGAGTTATTAGGTTTTTTTTAAAAGTTGAAGATGAAATCCTGGAGTTGAAAGAAAAGCCTAGGTTTTTCACTCATGTCGTGCACGCTGGTTAGTTATTTATTTTTGGTCAAATTTTTGATGTAGAACAACGTGATTTTGATGAAATATTACTACTTTATGTTCAGATTTGGTGATTTGTTTTTTGTTGAAGGAAGCGTTTGTCACACATGATGTGTCCAAAGATTGTTGGAGATTTGAATATCCAATGATAATTTCTGTTTTTACAGTTTCTTGCTGTGATAAATTATGTAATTTTGGTGATTTTTATAGTAAACATGGGCGAGTTTGGAAGGCATGTTTTCTTTAAAAATCTACAGTAAAATAAATAAAAATATAACTAACTGTATAAATTTGTATCCCCCCCCCCCCACACACACACACACACAAGAGCCTCTTCAGTGCTTAAAAAAATATTTTAGATATCTACCCCTTTTTGAACCACTCTGTCCCCTCTCATATGTAATGAACAGTCCCTAAGGAGAGGGATACAACTTTGAATCTGCCAATCTGTGACATAAAAGGAGACCAGTTGTGGCTGGACACTGACAGATTTAAGATTACTGAAAGAGGTATCAGACGGTCTGTGATTTCTACGACGTTTCTGACCACCGTGCCACCGCCTGTTTAGGATCACTGCTATGAAATATCACTATTATAAACTTTCACTGTACACGACGTGTCCAAGGACCGTCCGAAATTTCTAAATCCAACAATAAGAATACATGCCATCCAAACAAAGGCAGATTAGAAAATACAGCTGTTTAAAAGTTGTGTATCTCTCCCCTTAGAGACTGTTTGTTATTATGAGAGGAGAGGGGGTGGTGCAAAAAAGGGGAGTCATGTCAAATACCTCTTTAAGTACTGAGGAAGGACTACTTTATTTTAGCTTAGAGGAGGGGAATATAAATTTAAATGGTTGTGTTTTGTTTTTATTTTACCACAGATTTTTTATGAAAACCTGCCTTCCAAACTCGCCCACTTTTTTTCTTTTAAAATCACCAAAATGACACTATTTATTAGAGCCAGAAACCGTAAAAACAGAAATTACTGTTGGATTTTCAAATTTCTTACAGTCCTTGGACACATCGTGTGTGACAAACACTTCCTTTTGTTCAAAAACAAAACAAATCTGAGCAAATAGCTAGTAGGGGTGTAACGATACATCGATCCACATCGATACATCGATTCATTGATTAACGATCCGATTATATCGATGCAAAATTAAAACATCGATCCATATCGTCATCTTAAAGATACACATTTATTTTGAAATTCACATAGCACGTCTGTGTCACCATTTCTGGGCAAGCGCGCCTCCGCTCAAACAACAAACAGAGCTCAGAAATAAAATGGTCAAATCATATTCTAGTTGTTTTTGTGAGTTGATGTAAATGATTGTGTTAGATGGGCATATGATATCGCGTCATATCGATCGCAGGCTCCTGAATAGAATCGATTCAGAATCGTATCGTGACAGACTTTGTGATATCGGCAAACATCGTATCGTCATCCAAACAAATCGATATAATATCGTATCGTGATGAAGCTGGTGATTTACACCCCTAATAGCTAGTAGTGACAATTCATCAAAATCATTTATTCTACATCAAACATTTTACCAAAAATAAAAAACTGACCAGCATGCACGACATGAGTGAAAAACTGAGACTTTTTCCAACTCCAGGATTTCATCTTCAACTTTAAACTTTCAAATTTTCAGAAGGTAAGTTTTAAATATCTAATAACTCATTTATTAGATATTCTTCCCATCTCTGCTGTAAATATTTTCAAATATGTATTTTTGTTTATCAATCCATTCACAAGTTACTTCCGATCTGTTTCCATTCTGTATTTTAGTTCAATTCCCAAATTCATCACTTCAACACAAGGTCAGCAAATAATCTTCATCCTACCCTTTTCAGGTCTACTTTCTCTCAGTTCTCAATTAGGTTCAGAGGTCCCCACTTTTGGAACATGTTACCAGTCCACATTAGAACCTGCATGCGTATAAACCCTTTCAAGAAGCAAATAACCCATTTTTTTATTGGCCCAGTTGAGCAATGCATAACCACCTGCTTCCACTACATCACTACATACTTTGAGATTATTTTCTTAACTGTTTTATGATGTTTTTTTTACATTATTGTACATATTATTTTTATGTTGAATGCTTGACCACTTGACAAGCCCTTAGGGGTTTTTATTTGGTCCCTCCTGCACATTTGTGATATGTTGTATCTATTCTATATATTGTATGTCTTTCTTGTTCTACTCTTTCATTGTGCGGTTTTATATTTTTTTCTCTCATGTGCTAATAAATAAATCGAATGGTGGAGGGAGGGTTATGGATTTTCCACGGAAAAGTATTTGTAGCTTCAGGGAGGGTCAAGAAGGAGAAGAAGTCACATCCCAGCCACCCTCCTCCTACGATAAGTAATGAACAGTCCCTTAGCCAAATCAAAAACATAAATCCCTCCCCAGAGTTTTAGAAAACAACATGTCTCACCCTTTTTTGGCACCACTCCCTCATAAATAACGAACAGTCCCTAATATTCAAACAGTTTTAAAATTTTCGACAATAAAACATTTCACTATAAATGACTCAGTGATACTGTTGATACTTCCTTTAAATCCTGCACGACTTTATAAATGTTTGACTTTTACCCATATTAAAGTATGACATCCGCCCTTCAACTCCATTTAACGAAATCAGTAATCGATCAAAACTAATAATAATCATGGCGTAAGTTAGGTGATAAAAACAGTGGAACTCAAACGCCACATGAGTTAGTTTTAACGGTTTTAACCGGAATATCTTAGTAATGCTAACTTTGCTAGCCGTTAATAACACGTCAGTGCGTTACGTTAGACCTTCGACATTTAACAAACTGAGTATTAAAATCATGAACTCCGTCTGTCCTTTGAGAGAACGGTCAAAGGCCATAAGACTTTAATTCCTCTGATTAGCTAACAGCAGCTAGCATCATCGTTAGCCTCACGGAGCCTCACGGGTCTGATTTAATTTAATCTGTAGGAATAAATACAGTAAATAAACATGACTTACGTGGTTTAAATTAAAGCCTGTAAGCAGCAGAGGTCTGAATGTGCTGAGAGCAGCAAAGTTTCCAGAAGTCAGAGACGTCTCTATTCATCGGTCTCTACTTCCGCATCTGGGATGTGCTGCATTCAGGGAGTAAGGTTAGAATGGGAAATATAAAGGACCAATCATTCCAGTATGGGATTATGGTTGGATTAAACTGCGTCCATTTTGCCGCAGCATTGTTGAACTTCCGTCACTCACAAAGACAGAGCCCCGATAACTAGGCTGAAGTGTTTATCCGACTTGGCCTGCTCCTAATTTTACTATACATATAGATAATTACGAGCTCCACGGTGTCACGTGAATGCATCTGCATCACTTCCTGTTTACAGCAGACTGGCTGCCATTGTCCTTTGAGGAAGTTATAAAATGGAAATAAATCACCAAATCAAACACTACACATCCCACTTTTTGAATTTTATTTATTCTTTATTTATTCTTTATTTCTATCTCATAGATTTTCTACATTCACCAAATGTTTTGTCTCGTGATCTTTTAAAACAAACCAATGTCTACTTGCAACCCCTCATCACCAGTGACAGGGGAGACTGGGGACTTTCTCCCAGTTACTCAGATACTACACTCACTAGCACTTTACACCTGTACCACCTGCTGAAGTTCAAACGGAGCATCAGAATGATGAAGAAAGGTGATGTAAGTGCCTTTGAACGTGGCGTGGTTGTTGGTGCCAGACGGGCTGGTCTGAGTGTTTACTGGGATTTTCAGCACAACCATCTCTAGGGTTTACAGAGGATGGTCCCAAAAAGAGAAAATATCCAGTGAGCCAAAATGCCTTGTTGATGCCAGAGGTCAGAGGAGAATGGCCAGACTGGTTCAAGATGATAGAAAGGCAACAGGAAGTCAAATAAGCACTGGTTCCAACCAAGGTGTGCAGAAGAGCATCTCTGAAGCAACAACACCTTGTCCAACCTTGAAGCAGATGGGCTACAGCAGCAGAAGACCACACCAGGTGCCACTCCTGTCAGCTAACAACAGGAAACTGAGGCTACAATTCACACGGGTTTTCTCACCAAAACTGGACAATAGAAGATTGGAAAAACCACATTCAGATGGAAGCATGGATCCATCCTGCCTTGTATCAACGCTTCAGGCTGCTGCTGGTGGTGTAATGGTGTGGGGGAGATTTTCTTAGTACCAACTGAGCATGGTTTAAACACCACAGCCTACCTGAGTATTGTTGCTGAGCGTGTCCATCCCTTTATGACCACAGTGTACCCATCTTCTGATGGCTACTTCCAGCAGGATAACGCACCATGTCACAAAGCTCACATCATCTCAAACATGACAATGAGTTCACTGTACTCCAATGGCCTCCACAGTCACCAGATCTCAGTCCAATAGAGCACCTTTGGGATGTGCTGGAACGGGAGATTCTCATCATGGATCAACTGTGTGATGTCATCATGTCAATATGGACCAAACTCTCTGAGGAATGTTTCAGCACCTTGTTGAATCTGTGACACCAAGAATTAAGGGAACAACAAGCAAGGTGTACCTAATAAAGCGGCTGGTGAGTGTATTTAGACTACACCAACCAAATTTTTATATAATAAACTTAGATCTGTTTGCTAATTATCCAAACCATTTAAACATATATGACATGTTGTTCACAATATTTATTTGAATGGAAGAAGTCAGATGTTGCAACTGACCCCAAATACCAAATCAACTTGCTGAAAAATCAGCTGAAAGTATGCATCGTTGTATAATAACAGTAATTATTAATACAATAAAATTGTAGTGTTATTTATTAAATCAGTCATTGAGTCCTGTGTGCCATAAAGACAGCATATATTTACTTTTTTCAGCTTAAAAAATAATTTAAAAAAAAGCATTTTAAATTAAATCCACAAAATAATATAAAGAACTTGGGAAATTTACCAGCTGGTTTTATAAGGTAAAATTTGTTGTATTTACAAAATACATTTTTTAAAAAAAAGTGTTTACAAAGAGAATATCATTTTAAGAGAATTGAAGAGAATATATAAAATAAAGTACATTACTGAACATCGGTCCATTTGCATTGGTGATAAGTTTCTTTAATTTGTCTTCGGTATTTGTGGCGTCTCTTGTTTATTATTTGCCAATTTAATAAAACCATGAGAAACTAAAACAATGACTAATACAAACAATGTACGGCGACGTGGCTGAGAGCAAATACTTTAAATTGTAAATGTCATTTGATGTTGTGTTGATTTTTGTTGTCCTGTGGCACAATCAGTGTTTAAAATTTGATTGACAGCAAAATACAAACTACATTCAAAGTGACAAAAATCAGAAAGACAAACTCAAATAACGAGCGAAGGTCACAGAGGTCACAGAACTCAGAGGTCAAACCCTGCTGCCGTCACATGTTGTCACATAAACACAGCTGGTGTTAGCTGACACCACAGCACCAGTGAGGAACAATAACTGTGAGATACGTCACTTCATATTAAGACTGAAAAAATAATTTATTGTCTCCTCAAAAACACAATTTGACTAAGAGTTCATACATTAAATGATTGTAAAGATTTTCCCTTCTTATGGAGTAAACTAACGTGATAGTCAGAGGATATAAAAGCATCATTTTGGTTTTGTTTGTACAAAACATTCACATTACATTCATTTTCCCGCCCAGCCCAGTGAGCAGAAAGAGAAGCAGCTCGTATTATTTAAACTCCAGTTCCTCCGTCAGCCCAGTTTGATGGCTCCTGCGAACATGGTGATGAGCAGGATGATGGTGAACCCCGTGAGCAGCCCGGCGTTCTGGATCAGGAAGAAGACGACCTTGGTGGAAGTCTTCTCCTGTTCCCGTAATATGTTGTCCATCTCTGGAAACTGAGATGTGGAAAGACAGTCAGACAATCAGAAATACAATGGCTTCATTGTTTCACAGTAACAGGAAGTAACAATATAAGAACAGGAAGTTGTAGTTAATTTATGCAGCTGCAGTCATTTTGTTCCCACAAAGTTAAACTGGAGAAACAACCACATTTCTATCATGTGACTGCTGATGTCAACAGATCAGGTTTAAACATGACAGGGTGACCTCGTGGAGGTCAAACAGAGGTCATCATTTTTAGGATATTTGTCTTTGACCAAAACCAACAAACTGATCCAACTGTACAAACAATAATTCCCTGTGTATCCAAACACGTCTGCACACCTTTAATCACCAAGGGACTGTTCTTTATTTATCAGAGGAGGGGGGTTACTGGGGTGTGACTTTGGTGTTTTGTTTGTTTGTTTGTTTGTTTCATTTTGACCCTCCCCGAAGCCTCACTGTAGCCAGAAACATGGTTTGTGAAGTTACAGTGACACTGACATTTGGAAGTCCAAGTGGACGTTTATGCCAAATTTGAGGCACCAAAGGACAGACAAGCCCAAAATATAATGGCTCCTGTCACGACATAAAAAGTACCGTTTATGTAATTATATTAAATAAAACTGAGTAATAATTTATGAAAATGTGGCACATAAAATTTTCCTGATTTACTTTAATTAAGTTTCTGTAATTGCTGTTATTAAATTCTGTTTATTTCAACAGTGTTCATCATATTTATAATACATGAAATTTATATATTTATTATAATTTTATTACATCACATAACGCTGCTGGTTTACTTTCACGTCCACATATGACGTGCTGGATACCCTGGGTGTGTCGGTTGTTGATGTTCTGGGACGCTGTGTCAGTTTACGCCTGTTACATGCATTGTCTGTTTTCAAAATACACTTCCATTCTCACAGGAAATGTCTGTGCTCGTTAGATCCATACTAAATCAATGTTTTTCAAAATAAACTTACAGCGTCGGTAAAACACCTTGTCTTCACATTTATTTCCTTGTTCAACATGAGCCTGTGGTTAGGTTTAGAAAAAAAGTAAAAACCAAATAAATCCGCACAAATAAATCCGTGTAGAAGACGTGTGGCTCGAAATGTCTCTCTGAAACGACATTACATTCCTTCTAGACAGGTTTTACTTTGCTAGATGTTTCTTTGGTCCAGCACCCACTCCACTGGACGTTGGGATGTGCGTGTCTTTTGTACTGTTTTTAGGTTTAAAAAAAAAATAACATCATGGTTTGGCTCCATATGCCTACAGGAAGCAAACACCGGCCTTCTTGGTGAAAGTCCAGTGTTGTTGGACCCACCCACCTCCCCTCCCTCCCACCCTATAGGTGCTTTTCACCTCCCTCAGTTACGTCATTTTTCAGTGGCATTTCAAACTGACGCCGCACGGCCACCACTGCTTTTCTCGTCGGCTTTGAAATGAGCACAAGTGGTGCCTGTCAATGTAACTCCAGTGAAACCTTCTAAAAAGAAAACGAGGGGTTAAACAATATGAAAATTATGTTTTTGAGCATGTAAACATGTTTGAGTAGAACCTTAATATGAGCAGAATGTGGGACCTTTCAAGATTTAAATCTTCAGTAAGAAACAAAAGGCTTTGAGCTGAGTGTCACAGACAAGGAGAGACAGACACATTGTTGGTTTTTGTCTTTCCATGGGATCTTTTGACAATAACAAAATACAGAATGACACTAAAAAAGAAAAGATCAGATTTATAAATACAAAAAATGCTCAGCGGCCTGCACATGTAGCATATCTGTCCTCAGGTCACTCACCATGTCTGCCAGTGCAATGTACAGGAACATTCCTCCTGCGATCGCAAAGATTGCGTTGGGGGCAAAGTTGCTCCCGAGCAGGATGCCGAACACGAGGCCGATGTAACACGACACCGCTGACAGCAGGTTGAAGAAAATGGCCTGAGGGATGCTCATACCAGCGTTCAGCAGGATAACAAAGTCACCTGCAGACAGAACAAAACACGAGGGTTAAACATGCACTGATATTATCCAACTCATTTATGTAGGGGAGACCAGGGATGGTTGTAACAAAGGGATAGTTGTAACACTCTCAGTTTGGCCAATTAGAAACGAGCTGTGGTGACATCATCAACATAGTCCATGCCCATTTACAATTGGAGCTCACTGGTGAAGCCGCATGTCTCTGAGTCCAGATTTGTCTGTTCTAGAGCCAAAAACAGTTTTTCAGGTGAGAAACCAAACATTTTCATCACAGTTGTTTTTTGCATAGTGTCCATTGTGTTGTATGTACAATTGTTTCACTTACATAGGTTCAAGTAGTAGTTTCTCTAGTTTAATTTGATGTGTTTCGTTAGTGCTAGCTTTGAAGCTAAATGCTAAAAACGGTTGGCGAGGGTTGTAACTCTTCCAAAGTGTTTATTGTTCAACTGTTAAAATGCTGTTCAAACATCAACCTGATTCAGGCTACAACGCACACACACACACACACACACACACACACAGGTTAATGCTTTATTATTCTTGATTTTATTTATTTTTTGTTATATATTTTTATTTATTTTATTGTACTTATTTTTGTTATACATTTCTATTTATTTTAATATTATAATTATTGTATTCTTACAAGTTTATTATTCCTTCTTTATTATTCATTAAAGTGCTTGAATACATTTAGCCTATTGTGAATCTTTTTTAAGCACAATAATTTAATTGTTACATCCATCCCCAGCTAGTGTTACAACTCACCCCGGTACTGGGGTATGTTGTAACAATATACCTCTTTGTATTTGACATTAATTTCCATAATTTGTGATGGTGTAGTAGAGGTCAAAGTGTGTGTTATTTGTAGCAAACAAATATGGGTACCATATATCAAAATTTAAGCGCTCTAACAAAAAAACCCACTGAGTTACACTTGCTCAAACTAAAAGTGTTACAATTATCCCCGGTCTCCCCTATAAGGAAGAGCAAAAATATCTGGAAGCAAAACAGCCTATTGCCGACATGACTGTTACAGGGGTTTCTGTGTTTTAATTTCTTCAGTGTTTGGACTTGAAACACAGAAAAATCAAAGTTTGGGTGCAGTTCTGCAGAGCGTCAGCAGAGGTCGATAAAGATCAGATTTCTAATGGCCCTTTTAGTTAAAGTAAAAAGATAAAACCAGCTTTCATTCCTTGAAACCAGAGCTGGGACCAAGTCATTGTTTTGCAAGTTACAAGCAAGTCAAAGTCTTTGGACACAGGTCCCAAGTCAAGTGTTGAGTCACCAACTGTAATGCCATATTTAAAGAGTAGGTCTGATAATGTATTAAATTCACAAACATCATGAATGTATTTGATTCATTCATTCTGTAACCACTTGGGTGCTGGAGCCTGTCCCAGCTGTCACTGGGTGAGAGGTCACCAGACTATCACAGGGCTGACACATAGAGACAGACAACCATTCACACTCACATTCACACCTACAGACAATTTAGAGTCACCAATTAACCTGCATGTCTTTGGACTGTGGGAGGAAGCTGGAGCACCTGGAGGAAACCCACGCTGACACTGGGAGAACATGCAAACTCCGCACAGGAAGACTCCCCCACCATGGGGTTTGAACTGGGATCCCTCTTACACTGATTTAAATATTCAAACCTGATGAACTACTGCTGCACTGCGCCATCAAATGGAGATATTCTGGATGTCTTGTGTCATCAGTTCAGTTAAGGATCTTTGGGAAAGTTGGGATCTTCATCAGAGTTTAAATAAATTTTTCTGGGTTTGAATAATGTTTGGCTGCACAGAAGGAGTTGGTAATGAACAGGCTAGAAGACAACCTCACCCAGCTCATGGGGAAACTCCTCACACACGATGGCAGTGGACGTACTGAACCCCGTCAGCACTGACACAGTGAACGAGGCGCCGATAGCCAGGCCGTCGATGAAGTTGTGCACGGCGTCGCTCAGTGTGATCATCCATGCCACTGTCTTGATGCTGGAGATGCGCTGTCCACGCAGCCAGTGGCACATCTTGACTTCCTGTCGGACACATGAGATGGTTAAAGGGACTGGATAACATTAGACCACAGAGGAGAGAGATGAGTAAACAGTGACCTAATGTGGATTCAGTGAGCCACAAAGATAAAACACACAATGATGTTTAAAAATCAAAGTTCAAATTGTCCAGAAAATTAAGGACAAAGTTGAACATTTTGCTTTTGGTATCTGATCAATACGTTTTCTCCTCAATAGTCAAAACTAGAGAACAAACAACATTTTTTAAGAGATTTTTTAACGTAAACTTTAAGCAAGACAAAGACTCAACAGCTTTGAGGGTGATCTTTAAGGGGACTGTATATCATATCCAGAGCGTATCTATAGCCTCTTTCTTGCCATTATGGCGTCTCGCCGCTCTGTATAAAAGGTACAATCACGCCTTTAAGTTGGCATCCCAGGTAGTAACAGTGCCGAAACAATGTCTCTATAAACGGGACAGCTGGCAGGACAGGATCATGGGCGGCATGTGTGTGATGTTTTGAAGACGTGTTATGTGGGTGACCCACCACGGGAGATTTAAAAAGTAGCTGTTTGCAGTTAGCAGCTAACTCGAAGAAGAAGAAGAGCAGCCAGAAATGACCACAAATAGTAAAAATAATGAGGTCCGGGAAGGTCTTACCCTCCGAGCAGAGGACAAGATCAGCTGCCATATGACAGGAACAGTAATTACTACATTACTACAGATCATTACTACAGATCATGTCAGCGTTTCTAAAGTGATGTCATTTCTGAGCTGACTTTGCTGTCTGCAGATGTAGGAGATGATGGATGGCGAGACACCTGCCAAGCTGCAGACCACTGTTCAAGACCAACAAAAAACAAAATCTGAGTTTTTGTAGTCGCCCATTACTGGTCTTTTACCATGACCAAGTAAGCCTAAATGTTCTCCCCAGCAACGCTTTCCAGCTCCTCCTGGTGGACCCCGAGGTGTTCCCAGGCCAGATGAGATATATAATCCCTCCAGTGTGTTCTGGGTCTGCCCCGGGGCCTCCTACCAGTGGGACGTGCCCTAAACACCTCTAACAGGAGGCGCCCAGGAGGATCCTGATCAGATGCCTCGTGACAATAGGTGAGGGTTGGGACGTAGATGGACCAATAAATTGAAAGCTTTGCCTTCCGGTTCAGCTCCGTCTTCACCACAACGGTCAAGCAACCTGTCCATCTCATGCTCCATTCTACTCTAACCTGTGAACAAGACCCCGAGATATTTAAACTCCTTCGCTTGGATGTGCTCCCTCTCCAGATGTCTGACTCCTCCCCCTATCTCTAAGGCTGAGCCCAGACACGCTACAGAGGAAACTCATTTCAGCCGCTTGTATCCGTGATATCATTCTTTCGGTCACTACCCAGTGCTCATGACCATAGGTGAGGGTTGGGACGGAGATGGACCAGTAAATTGAAATCTTTGCCTTCTGGCTCAGCTCCCTCTTCACCACGACGATCCACTGTTCCACGGCCATGTCGGAATCCACATTGCTCCTCCTGAATCCGAGGTTTGACAATTGGTCGGAGCCTTCTTTCCAACACCCTGGAGTAAACTTTTCCCATGAGGCTGAGCAGTGTGATACCCTGATAGTTAGAGCAAACCCTCTGGTCTGCTTTTTTGATGATGGGAACCACTACCCCAGCCTGCCACTCCACAGGCACCGTACCAAAAATATTTCACATAAAAACCTCATGGTGGTGTTTGAGATACAGCAGGTCAGGGTATCATCAGAGTCAGAGGGATTCATCCTCTGGAGATCATGAATGTCTGCACACAGCAATCCCTCCAAAAGTTTTACCAATCAACAGGCAGTTGCTGCCATGGCTAAATATCTTACTTACCAAACCCTTTAACTAACAAAGTCTGTCTATTTGGGTCCACAAAATGTCAGAGATACTGCCGAATCAAACTCCAGGAAATATTTCCCCTGAAGGTAAGTGCAGCATTTACAGTGGAACTCTTCAATTACAAATATAATGGCACGAGTGTTTTTAATGGGAAACCTGAGAACAGGCGGACATACACAGAGCCTCTGGGTCCTGGTTAAAGATACTCTGCAATGACAAAATGCCCCTTTTATTAGCCGCAGACAAACAAGGAGTCTTTGTCCTCCAGCCAGACAATTCCAGCATTTACCAGGAGGGGAAGGATCTGAGGCCTTCGTCCCTCTGTGACACCGGCATGTCTGTTTGTTTAGTATTTTGATCCCTTGAGAGTGGGACTCCTCCGTATGACTCCAGAGATCTTACTGTTAAACATTAACAGCAGCTCTAATCGCTCCATGTCACCGATAACAGCTCAATAAATTACTCTAAAAACTAAACTTACATGTAGAAAAACAAAGAAGTGTGTCCAAACCACATTAGAATATAAACACTCTCTGGCTGCTTCATCTTCTTTAGACAAATTTAGCTCACGGTGGCACAGTTTCACTCTGTCATGACTCAAAGTGTAAATTCTGGCTGATAAGATGTTTTTAAATCAGTCATGTATTTATAGTTCACGATGCATTCCTGTCAGGTGTGTCTGTGATAGAGGACTGAGGTGGACAGCAAATCTCTATCAAGCATGATTAATTAAGATAACAATTCAGGGAAAGCTCGCTGCTTTACGAGCTTATCTGAAGACCTTGCTACTCATTAGATAAAACGTGGGTGACTGCTGTGTGGGTTAACGTGGCGTGTGTGCAGACAGAGTAGATCTTGGTATATTTCCAGGGTCCTGTGTCTCTTGATATAAACAGACACTGTAGAAGCATGAAGGGAGATGGACGTTGCACATGAACTTTGAATAGTATTATATATTATATTATAATATAATACAATACTAATATAATATTATATATTATATTAGAATTTAATGTTTGAGCCAAATTTGAAGAAACTGCCTCAAGGCCCTCTTGAGATATCACATTCACGGGAATGAGACAAAAGCAAGGTCACAGTAACCTCTGACCACCAAATTCAAATCAGCCTATTCTTGACACAAAGTGTTGTGTCAAATTTGAAAAAAATCCCTTAAGGTGTTCTTGAGATATTGCGTTCAGGAGAATGAGATAAATGCAAGGTCACAGTGACCTTAGACAACTAAAACCTAATCAGTTCATCACTGAGTCCAAGTGAATGTTTGGATGTTTGACCTTCTTGAGATATCGTTCACGAGAATGAGAAGATTGCGAGGTCATCCTGACCTTGACCTTTGGCCACCAAATTCTGATCAGTTCATACTTGATTCAAAGTGGACATCTGTGTCAAACTGAAGAATTTCCCTCAAGGTCTTCTTGAGATATTGCATTCACAAGAATGAGAAGAATGTAAGGTCACGTTGAGCTTTTGCTTTTGACCACCAAATTCTAATCAGTTCATCACAGACTGAAAGTGGATGTTTGTGCCAGATATGAAGAAATTATTATTATTATTCTCAAAGTGACGTGACGAGGGCACTGGTACCTGAGAATCTGTGACTGGTTCTGGGCTCGGGCTGCTCCTGTCTGTGGCGATGACATTGATGCTGGTCAGAACGATGGAGTCCTTCTTCTCCAGAACGTTTCCGTTGTGCAGGGAGTTTTCCTGAGGCGGCTCTGCAGGAGTGAAGTGGCTGTGGCCGTGCTGAAGACAAGAGAGACAAAGGAAGTCAGTTGGACAGAAAGAGAAACTGTGTGGGTTCAATGAAATGATAACCTGAGGGGGTAACTCCTCATAAGATTTCTTTTTTTAAATTTAAAGTCTGCGACACAGGGGTACACTGCAAATACTGAACAGTAGAGATTCAAAACTGAGCAACAACCTTTCAAATTTCACTTGTAAATTTCAAAGTCAGCTTTAGTTTTCAGTTTGTACCTTTTATTTCTTTTGGTGCCCTGCAGGGAAGTGTTTACCAGTGACTGAATGAAACTTGAATCAGTATAAACTGGTGTTACTGGGGAGCATCATGTGCTACTGTATGAATGCAGAATGAAATACAGTTGCACAATGCCAGACTGACACAACCTTTCAAGCAATTTCACTGCTGCAGACAAATTTCAAATGTTGCTATGAAGTATGAGAGTTTTGTGAAAGGTGGTTATAAAACTCTTTCTTGTCTCAAAGTCCCGATAAAATCAAACATGTTTAATATTATCATAAGTTTTTAGTCTTGGCTCATGAAAATACTGAAGTTTGATGATGTGAACACCGTCAACAACCAATAGCTGTGCTCTCTCCAGCACCAACAGGAAGGAATGTGAACAAGTCTTTTCTCTTGTTCTGTGGAGTGAACAAGAGTCGGTGTTTCATTCGGCATGTCTCAGATCCTTCAACCAGCTCTTATTGTAGTGACAAATCTTAATTTTTGAAACACTTCACCTCTTATTCCCAGTCTCCTCCCACTAATACAGCACACGTCCTGATTTTGGCAAGTGGTTGTTGTCCTGAGAACAACATTTTGCATGATTGCCCTGGGACAACAACTGCCTCAGCCAGTCAACACATCAAAAAAAGTCCAAAAAGTCAGTAGAAACTTCTAATACCACAACTGCCAACAAGTGTGTGTATCATGTAGCTAGCATGATAGCTAGCTAGTTACGATTTTCTACATATCAATTACTTGATTATCTAATATCTTCCCCCACTGCCACCACAAAAACAGTGTTCTTGGTTTGTCATGTGCTTTAAATCAGTTCCCCATAAGCCTCACTTTCATTACGCAATACTTTTTATCTCCGGGCACAACCCTGGAAAAAAATAGGGCTGCAGTTGGAAGGCTAGCGCGCTAATACTAGCATGCAAATATTAGAGCGCTAAAGCTAGCCCACTAACTCTGGCAGCCAGAGACAAACATCTATGAGTCACTGTCCCTTTGACAATGGAAAGACAGAACACATTTTCTTGGAGTGACCTTTCTAAAGCAAGCAGGAATGAAAGTTAACGTTAGAGTATTCTGTTTTGATCAAGGAGTTAATGCTAAGCAGCTAGCGCCATAGCTAACAGTTAGCTCACCTTTGCAAGCTAATGTGAGTTTATTTCCATGGTGGCAAAATACTAACAATTAATCTAAAAAGCAAGTTTATATTTTAATGTCTATCAGACGAGTGTAACTTTCAGGTTGGGTCTCATCTTGTAATTTGTTGTTCCCAGGACTACAACCACAAATCAGGGCGTGTCTAATAGGCCCTACAGCTTGCAGAGAGTTGAGGCAATAAAATCCAAAATTTAAGTTTGTACATAAATAGTTTATCTTTATGGATTATACTGATGCCAAATTGACAAGAATACTGTTGACATGTGACGCCTTTTATCTTGTGTTTCTAGACTTTTGTGTTTTTGCGGCCACGTAAGGATTTGTTAAAATCCTAAAAATGGAGTTTGGTGTCATATTTTTCACCAGGAGCAGGATGGGAAATAATCTCAAAACGAATCTAGTTGTAAATAGTCACTGTGAGATCTTTGCAAAAATCCTAAACTGTGTGACTAAAAACTTTAGATGTCTTTCAGTGAATGGCGAGCATAAGAGTCTGCAGCCAAGCTAGCATAAGTTCTTTAAGCTAAATGCTAACAAGCTCATAATGACAATGCTAACACGCTGATGTTTAGCAGGTATCATGTTTACAATGTTCATCATCTTAGTACAGCATGTAACATAAATAAAGTTAAATAAAATACTAATTTAACAGCACATGCCCAAAGTACAGACTTGTGCAAGTGATGCAGGAAACATCAGACTGATAGTAAATACTTAGATGCACTGCAACACAGGAGAGCTGAATTACTTCTTCTTTTAATTTAGTCTTTATTTGAAATGTCACAAACAACACGGTTTGCCCATGACTTCATCAGGTTTTGATGGTGATGAAGCCACTGGCGAAACTGTCCTATTTTACCTGGACGTCATCGGAGCGATGTCGGAGTTCTTGATGTGCTTGAAGGTCCAAAGTTTCTAAAATATTTTACTCGTCAACATATTGTCTTTATAGATATATGGCAGGAAACCATAACAGCACCGGACACAGGTGGTTTTCTTGATGATCTACCAAACTACCGGACATAATCTGAGACTTTTATTCTGCTTCCTGCCTGTTTCCTGATTTTAATCCCCCTGTTAAAGTTAATATCAGGATATTGTGCAGCTAGAATAAAACTTATATTGACTGAAGGTAACAGTCTGTGCCTACTGTGTCGATGACCCACGTCCAAAACGATGACAACATTGATGAATAATGCACGTCACTACCATAAAGTCTAAGTGCCCTGATGTTAGTCACTAATTAGCAGCTGAAGTCACTGATAAACTGGGATGATTATCTGGCACTTATACAACTGGAATAAAGGATATTACTCTGCAATAAAAGAAAAGTGCTTTGCACCAAGTAAACTCACTCACTGCTGCGTGTTACCTCACCTGATGCTCTAACCCCAGAGCCAATCTCAGGACCTTCTCCACGAAGAACAGCATGTAAAACCCTCCAAATATTCCAACTGCATTGGCCACGTAGTTATCGGATTTAGGATCGAAACCCAGAGCCTGCAGATGAACAGGAGAACAGTGTGTTAGCTGATGTGTAAACAATATTTAGATCATTTATAAAACACCTGTCACAAACCTCTGGGATGAGCTGGAGCACAGCGTTGGAGAAGAGCGTCCCGATGGCGAGGCCGATGAAGTAGGTCAGCACTTTGGGGAAGTAAGGCTTCTTGGTGAAGGGGATGAGGAAGAGGCCGAGCAGAGCGGCCAGGTTGATCACAGTGACCGCCAGAAACCCGTAACCCCACACTGTCACAGCAGAAAGCAACGATACACACTTACTGATGTTACAGGGATAAATGTTGTGGAGATCTTTAAAGCTTTCAGCTCATTGCTGAGATGTGTCTGAGGCTTGTTTTGGAAAGAGACGTTTAAGTTTCTGTTATTTTGAGCTTTTTTTCTTTATTAACTCAGTTAAAGTTGAATTACTTATCATTATCCTCTCCTATCAGTTCTTATTCTATAAATTAGAAACTTGTTGCTGCTGCTTGAACTTTAAAACTCGTCACTTACAGATATTTTTCCTCAGGAATGTTTTTAAAACAACAGATGTAAAAGATCTGAATCATTGCAGGGGATTTAAGGACATCAGGACAGGACATCTATTGGCTGCTATATTGGAGATCTTCTGCTCCTGGAGCTTTATTGCCCTGGGTTCAATTTATGAACTTCCTCTCAGCCTGCCTCCTTTGGCCCCATTTCAACTGCACAAAACAAGCCTGCTAGCATCTGGCTTTTTGATGTGATGTGTGCATTCACACCCGCTCAAATGACTCTGCAGTAGTCACGCGCATTTATTGGCTGTGGCTCTGATGAGTGGACATTGCACGTTTGTGGATGAGACAGTTTTCTTGACTGTAGACATTGATATCTCCACAGTGGCTGAACAGATTTTTATCATTCAAACTGCATTTGGAACGTCCATCTCCATTCGTCCCTTTGTGTTGTAAACTGTGAAGCTAGCCCGTACCAAACTCTCACAGTGTTGGTTTATATCAAGCGATATCAAGAGGGTCATAGGTCACGACACCAAATCACTGGCACGCAGTTACCATCACTACAGGACATTTACAGAGCCCCACGTCTTCATCGGGCCACAAGCATCATCAGTGACTCATCTCACCCAGGTCACAAACTATTTTACCCTGCTTCCTCCTGGACGACGCTCCAGGTCCTTGAAAGCTCACACTCCCAGATTCCCGGAAAGCTCCTTCCCAGGTGCCATTAAAGAAATAAACTATAAATAATCACACTAGTAGATAAGGCAATAAAACACCTTTAAATCTAGCTCCTCGACGGCAGTGATTGAAAACAGACGACTCTGATAACTGAGAAAAGACCAATCACACATTTGATTAATCACCTGTTTAGGTTACAGCTCGTTGGCTAGCAAATCAATCATCTGATTCATCAGATTAGTTTTTCTCTTAAACCCTTTTGCACTGTGCTTACTAATCTATGAATATTCAATGTGAGGTAGAAATACTCGATCTGAGGCCACGGTTTTAGGAGCGTTAAACACATCTGACTGGTTTCATAGACCTCTGAGGTCTGACAGATACTCAGACTACAGAGAGACGTCCTCTGCTGTGACAGTCTGTATCCATGTCAGTGAAAACATGGATGCTTCACACACAGAAGATCTATACAATCAGCACAGTTTCAAGATTAGAGTCACCAATTCAGTATCTGACCAAATGTCTCCCCTTCTGTTCCTGAGATATGATGTTAACACATGATGATGTCACAGTCAAGCTGATCTTTGACCTTTTGACCTTCATTATTTTATCCTGTGAGACATTTGTGTGAAATTTTGTCATAATTAGTGTATGAATTCTGGAGATATGGTCAAAAACATGTTTTATGAGGTCACAGTGACCTTTGACCACTAATTTCTCATCATCTCATTATGAGTCCAAGTAGACATTTGTGCCAGATTTGCAGGAAATTTCCTCAATGTGTTCACCAGGGAATTTCTGGTCTCTGCTATTGCCGGCATGGAGGCATTAGAAACAGTCAACTGAGCTTCAGTTTTCCTGCTGAACCACGTTTGAGGCCTAAATAGTTGCTGGAAACACTTGTTAAAAAAACAACCAGTTCTGTTGTTTGTTGGTAAATTTCAGCCATCGCCATCTTGGCTTTTTGGAGCCAGAAGTAAGTTTGAAGCTGCTCACTCCGTCAGAGAAAAATTGATGTATACAGGACAAAATGTATTTATGTGTGAAGAAATTCTTTCTGTTTGCTCCTCAGCACGTCAGCAACTCACAAGCTTCTTGTATTTGTTGGTTGTTCGTGTCATTTATAGTTAAATGGTTGTTAAACACACAGCTCTGGGGTGTCTGAGCTCTGTTAGCCAGCATTAAACAGGTTTATGAGCTAAATTAGCCTCAGATACACAATGACATTTGAATGAAACCAGAACTTAAAATGTAAAAAATATCTGCTGGTAGTAAAAGTAAATATTAGTGTGTAGCTCCCGGTGAGGACTGTGTTTAACCTTCTAGCTAGTGAGCAAGCAAAGACTGAGCTGACTTTTCTCACACAACTGTGTGATAGAAATTAAAATGAATGAACTGACAGGTCTCCTTAAAAAACAAAAAATTGATGCTCATTGTGAACACACAGGTTTTGTTTTTCATTGTTTGGGCAGAGCCAGTTCTTCATCAGCTCCTCTATCATGATGAAACCCACATTTATTACCACAGAGTCACCAAACACATGTTTAACTCAACAAAAGAGATCATCTATTTATTTTCAGAGGGGAGATTCTGCTCATGAGGCCGATGAAGAACCAGCATGCATCATCGACAACACTCTGAACAACAGTCACAGTTGGTTGTGACTGTGTCAACAGCACTGAGGAGGAGGAGGGAGCGTTTGGCGATGAGTCTGAGAGGTCAGCAGGTCTGTGTGACTCAATCCAGGACATGAGGTGAGTGTTACGGCTCGTTTACAGCAGATTACTGCGGAGATGACTTTATTTATAAGTCATGAGTGGAAGATAGAGGCTGACGACGTGAGACAAAAGGTTCACAATCAGGTTTTACAGGACGACCAGGACGACCATTTACATTCAGAGTGAGACTCTCTGATTAATGGTTTAACAGTGAGGCAGATTACCACTGCTGGAGGAAAGACTCAGATCAATAACTCAAATAAAAGTAGTGATACTACAGTGTAAAATACTATGTTACAACTAAAAGTTCTGCATTCAGGATTTTACTTTATAAAGTAAAGATACAAATGCATGAATGGATTATTTAACGGGCCACTGGTCTGCACTTGCAAATCATCACTCAAATTTACACAACAGACCAAAAAGAGATTCAAAACGACCACAAACATGTTTGGTTTTAGCAGCACAATTCCTGCTGGAAACACAGTGATGTCTCTCTAGAAAACAACCACTGTTTGTGCTGCTGTCCTGTTAAAACAAGCAGAGATGTCTCAGTAAAAACAACTGTTTTTTCACGGTTCTATCCCTGCTGGAAAAACAGTGACGGGTCGCCACAGTCCATCGCCAGAACGGACAAACCAAACACTGGCTCTAGACAGGGCAACTCACAATATAGCATCAGCCACCGTAATTAGCCGAGACCACCTCTTCAAGAAGGTCTCGGTCCGGTTGTTTTGGTGCACACCTGAGTGTGATTGCTGTGTTTACACCTGCCCAAAAAAACCACACTGAAGCCTAGTTCACATTACATGATTTTCACCGTGATTTTGATGTCGCAGAGGATCTTGAGAGCCACCTTGGGTCGGAGGTGAGTCAGCAGATAGTCTGCCACGACGAGTCCTCGTGTGTGAACAAGCCTACGAGCAAGTCGCCCCCTCGTCTGCGACTGGGACTGGATATCTGGCATGCTAGAAAACTGGAGAAGTCTGACACGACTGACAAAGAGCATCAGCCAATGAGAGGCGGGATACGTCCCACGTTAGCACGCAGGAGGACGGAAGAAATGTGAGGAGGACATGCCGCAGGGTTGCCAGGTCTGCTTATTAGCCACGACTTTGGGCTTGTTTCTAAAGTGGAGTTGCTTATTTGGGCTTGCTCTCTAAACGTCACCTTCCTCTATATATATCCGTCTAATAAGTTATTTAAACACATGATAGTTGCTTCTTTTGGGCTTGTCCCTGGAGGCAGATCTGATTCAACGCTGGGAAAAATATCCATGCCTTTACCATGTGTCGTCTCCAAGTTTGGTGACGTCACCGCGTTATCTGGGGCTCTGTCGGCGAGGGCTCGGTGGAGAAATCTTGTGGTGTGCACACACAGGTCGTAATGCAGTTGGCGAGACTCCTGATGACAGAAACACACGTCGCCAGGTATGAACACTGAAAAGATTACGATAGTCTCCGCGACGCAAATCAGGATGAAAATCGTGTAATGTGAACTAGGCTTTAGGGGGCAAACCAAGTGGAGTTTGATTGAACCACACCAAAGAGGGCAGGTGTGAAAGGACTCTTACTTATGTGGTCTCTCTTTCAAACTCGGTGCAGACTAATTTGTATTGAAGTTTGAGCTGCTTGGGTGGAGACAGACGGTATTTTGTGATGATGCATCGTTGCATTTCACCAGTAAAGGGGCTAAAATTAGGGTGTTCGTCTGGGTGTTGTGTTTTCATCAGTGCCTATCGGAGACGGAGCTGATAGACACTCACGGCTACTGCAAAGTCATTTGACCTGTGTGTGAATGCTGATCATAACTTGTCCCATCACATTAAAGGGCCACATGTTTTTGCAGTGGAAAAGGGACTTTACACACTGTTCCTTTAAGAAAGAAGTGAATTAGGGTCAGTTTCTCTCCATACTTTCAGATTTCTGTTTTCATTATCAGTCAGAAGGTTTGTTGACTTTATGTCGTCATGATCAAATAACAACTTCATGGGTTGAATAAATCATCACAACAATCAACACTCTATCTTATTTTTTACATTTCCTGTCATTTGCTTCCTTCAGTACTGAACCGAGGAAAATAAGTGTAAAAGAAAGAGTTGGTGTCGTTGGTTTTATTAGTTTGCTTCAGGGGATTTTTTCAGACAGTTTCCAGTTTGTGCGGACGACCTCTGACCCCTCTGAGGTCAGATCTGAACCCTAAATCAGACACAAGCCCACCTCCTCTTGTTTTTAGGGTTTACAGGCTCTTAAAGGAGCGTCCTCTCCTCCGTCCACAGCGACTGTCTCATACTCTGAGCCAGACCTCATCCAACAAACCCTCCTGAACTGTGAATTATCTGCATCAACAAATAAAGCCACAATGTGATGAAGCAACTCACCGCTGGAGTTGGCAGGCTGCAGAGCTTTGGGGGCGGTGTAGGGGCAGGAGGGCAGCAGCACCTGGGTCAACACGGCGGGACAGATCCTGCCCAGATGTCCCACAGTCAGCTGGCTGACATTACTGAACCCAAAGTGGGACAAGATCTGGTCGGCTGAGGGACACTGAGGGACACAGAGACGACTTTAAACAGCTTTGTAAATCTGTTTTTGTCTCTAAAATCCTTCGAGCTTTGGTTTTCTCACATCTGTCGTCTTTAATGTGTATTTTTAATCTTTTTGTATGAAATGTGCTTTATAAATAAAGTTTTATTATTGTCAGTGGATAAAAACAGAAATACTTCACTGATCCATGTCACTCTGATGTAAACACAGAGAACTATAGAGGTAGAAATAAGAACCATGAAAGTATGTAAAAATGTTAAAATAAAAATATGTGCATTATGCTGCAATATTTATCATTTAAATAGGTAAAATAAATGCTGTATGATGCATTACAATATAAAAACTATGTCCAGTATGTAAAGTGTGCATTATGCTGCAGTGTGAAACATTTAAAAATATAAAATATGTATAATATGCTACATTACAATGTATAAAAAAGTTTAAGAAATATCAAATATAAATATATTATAAATATAAGAATATAAAATATAAATAAATATAAAAATGCATGACATGCTGAGTATGTAAATTGTATAAAAATATAAAATATGTGCCTTATGCTGCATTACAATATATTAATATTTTAAGTTTTAGAAAAACAAAATATAAATATCAAAACATAAAATAAATATAGAAGATGTATAATATTTTGAGTATGTAAGGAGTGTAAAAATATAAAATACACACCTCATGCTACATTACAATGTATCAGAGTACGAATGTAAGGCTTTAGAAATATAAATATAAAAATATGAAATATATGCTTTATGCTACATTAAAAGGTATAAAACTGATGAGTAGAGTTTGAGAAATATTAAATAAAAATACAAAATATAAAAATATGAATATATTCTGTATACTACGTTATAATGTATTAATATGTTAAGTTTTAGACATATAAATATAAATTTAAAGATAAAAATCTGAATATATTCCTTATGCTACATTACAATGTATAAAACTAACACATAAAGATTTAGAAATTTAAAAATATAAAATATCTGCCTTTTGCTACATCACAATGTTTTTAACTAGCATGTTAAGTTTTAGAAGTATATATTATGAATATAATATGAATATTAAAATATAAAAAAGTATCACCTAATTATTCTGTAAAGCAGAAAACAATAGAGTGGAGATAAAACAGTACCGAAGGACTTCAGTTACATTGTTATTATAAATTTAAATGCAAAAATAACATCTAAAAAGTAAAAACTATTGTTAAACAAAGAAATATTCGAAAAAATGTATTTAATCAAAATAAGTCCAGTCATTTAACTACAAATATCTACACATTACAACACAATCAAATACAATAAAAACAGAATGTTTCCAGTATTTAATACAGTTTTAATCACTATAGAATGACTATTTAATTATTTATGACATTTTAAGTTAAGTTCTTAGTTTAGTTTTCTTTATAAATAATCTGTGTAAACTTGGTGTGAGTTCATATTTACCACTATAAACTCGTGCACTGGTGTAACTGCTCCTTAATAACAGTAGAGAGTATAACTATGTTTTAGATGTGCTCACCTCCTGGTCTGACAGAGGGTTTCCTTCAGTCACAGCCTCAGATCTCCTCTCTGATATCAGCTGCAGTAAGTCGCTCAGGTGTTCTGTACTGATTGAGTCATTCTCACCGAAATACCGTAAAATATCCGTTAGAAACGTCTGTCCGTCCCGATCCGACACGTTTATACTGAGACAGTGAGAGATCAGCACTAAGAGGCAGCACGGGATGAAACATCTGGAGTCAAACATGTCTGAGTCTGTAGTTTGTCCTCAGTTAAAGATAAAAGCGTTGCTGCAGTGAAACATGTCAGTCAGAGCTGAGGAGGATCTGATCTGCTCTGATCCATGACACTCTGCTGAGATCCTTTAAGTAGCTCCGGCTTCTTCTCTGATTAGTTTACAGTGCACACAGCTTCCTGTGATCAGCTCTGAGTGATCGATCAGCAGCCTGATCAGGATCAAAAATCAGTGAGCAGGAAAAACACGGAGCTGACCGACCGACCGACCGCGTGCACCCTGCCTCAAAGCTTCAATGCTTTCTATTGTGGCTGAGCTCCTCACTCGGTATGCAACGTGCTCTCTCTCACACACACACACACACACACACACACACTCCTACTCGAAAGTGTGTGTGCAAAGGGTAACAGTGTGAGGTGGGATAAACAGCAGAGTGACTCAGTTTACTGCTGCTCCTACTGAGCAGTTTGAAGTTTAGAAAAAGCAAAAGTGTAACTGATGTGTGCAGGGCTGTAAACATGGGGGGGGGGGGGGGAGGCTCTCCCCTCCCCCACTCTCTCCAGAAATAAATAAAACAATTGAAAACTCACTTCCTGTCACATCATTGATCTTCAGCTACACACTGTGCTGTTAGGGACTGTTCTTTATTTATCATGAGCATTTTCAGCCATAGACACTTCTACTGTTAGTAAACAGTATGACGTTATTAGTGGGCGGGGCTTAGCTGGAGTCAAAACCATTCTCCAGCCACCCCTAGCGTGGGAGCGCACTCTGACACAAACTGGAGCGTTGATAAATTGGGAGCGCTGTCTGAATGTAGCGTTGGGTTATCCAGAGCAGCGCACTCTCAGAGTGGCAGAGCGCACTCTGGACACTCTGTCTGTGGAGACGGAGCAGCAGAGCGCCGAGCGGAGTGAATGTGTGATTAACTTAACCGTTGGTTCATTCATGTAGAAATATAACGCTGCGTTTCTTCCACCAACAGGGCTCTCATTTTAGTGTAGAGCGTCAGACTGAATTTACCAACGCACCATGTCAGGTCACTCACTCTCCGGGACCGCCAGTGTTACTTGAATACGTAAACACTGACCAACGGGACCAGACTGGCCGACCCGTATGCTCTCACTCAGTGGATGGATGATGTCACAGGAAGCCAATCTTACAAAGGAGGACCACACTTGTTTGTTTTGCTATGGAAGCTAACGTTAGCTAATGTGCTAAAAAGTTAGCGTTGCAGAGAAATCCAATATTCCTCTTAAAGGAAATGGCCACTTTAGAATGAAAACACAGACAGTACTTACTGACCCTCATGCCTACAAGAAGTCCAGTGTAGTTTTTTAATCCACAAAACTTGTTTGGGGTATCGGAGGATAACAGCTAGCCGGATTTTTCCATACACTTGAAGTGCACGGAACCCACATTTTGAAAATGTAATGAAACTCTGCTAATGCATTTCAAAAACGTCAGAATGGCTCGTCCGTCGTAATCAAAGTGCCCTGAAACTGTGGCATGCAAAACTGACTTGAAAAGACAGACTCGAGAACGTTCAGAGACGTTCTCGAGTCTCGCGCAAGTTGCCATGTAAACACAGCACGCCTGTAGGCTAACTGACCACAGTGAGAAATGATGCTATAAAAGTGGAGTAAATTACGTCTTTTCACGTCAGTTTTGCATGCCACAGTTTCAGGGCACTTTGATTACGACGGACGAGCCGTTCTGACGTTTTTGAAATGCATTAGCGGAGTTTCATTACATTTTCAAAATGTGGGTTCCGTGCACTTCAATATTTATATCATTATATTTTCCAGCTAGCTGTTATCCTCCGATACCCCCAACAAGTTTTGTGGATTAAAAAACTACACTGGACTTCTTGTCGGCATGAGGGTCAGTAAGTACCGTCTGTGTTTTCATTCTGAAGCGGCCATTTCCTTTAATACCTCCCCAGTTTTTACAGTTTCTGGCTAATAAATGGTGTAATTTTGGCGATTTTTAGCGAATACGTGCTTTTTTTCTTTAAAAATCGACTGTTGAATAAATACAAAATACAACCATTTAAATCTGTAAGCCCCTCCCCTATTTGACTCACCACCCCCTTTTAGCACCACCCCCTTGCGCTTTATTAATTATGAACAGTCCCTCGTGTAAAAACATGTCGAACATCACAGTAGCATCCTTGAACATCTCTTGAACCTTTGGTTGCCATAAAGTCGTCATCATAAAAACCCAACTTCAAGCCGTAGTGCTAAAATGCAAACTCATGAAGCAGTTTTAGGACTTTAGGATAGAATTATAATCTATTTAAGGTATTTACGTATTAGTTTCACATTCTGCAGGTGGAGGTCAGCGACCACTGATACTTTATTGGTTTTCTGTTTATATTGAGCTCTCTGCTTTTCTGCTTTTCTAAGATCTAACTCTAACTTTGAGGCTCCACCCCTCTCATGACATCATGTGGGACAAAGCAGGACACAAGCTTATTACTGTGAGAGGAGACTGACCGTCAGACAGATGGTAGGCTTTACATTTGTCACTGAGCTGTGACTTGAGCTGAGGGGGGACAGGCACAGGGAGGAGCACTGAAGGTGTGAAACTGCATCCAGCTGCTAAATGAATCACACTCAGACTCAGGGAGGAAGTAACTGAGGCAGGAGGGAGGGAAACACAACTCACTTCCTGTTTGGATCTGCTGACTGCTGCAGAAATACTATTGCTTTAACATCAGAGAGGATCTCTACTGTTGTGTCAAGGCGTCTTTAGAGATCCTGTTGTTCTGCTATGTGACCACAGCTTCTGTAAAGACTGGCTGAAGAGAGAAACCAACTCCTGAGAGTCCACTCTGTTAGAGAGGATCTTCAGAGAAACCAACTCCTGACAGGGCCTTAAAGAACCTGTGTGATGCCTTACAGGAGTGTCACACAGGTTCTCGCATCTGCAGAGATTCAGAGAAACACACCAACCACACATTCAAACTCGTCGATGAAGCTGAACGACAACACAAGAAGGAGTTTCAGGAGACTCTGATGAAGTCAAAAGATTCTGAGGAAGTTAAAGTGAAGTCTGAACAAACAGCAGAACACATGAAGGTCCAGGCCCGATTCACAGAGAGGCAGATTAAGGAGCAGTTTAAGAAGCTTCACCAGTTTCTAGATGAGGAAGAGGAGGCCAGGTTGGCTGCACTGAGGGATGAAGAGGAGCAGAAGAGTCAGATGATGAAGGAGAAGATGGAGGCTCTGAGCAGAGAGATAGCAGCTCTTTCAGACACAGTCAGAGCCACAGAGGACGAGCTGAGAGCTGAAGACGTCTCACTCCTGCAGTGGGCAGAGTCCAGCAGCTCCCCCTGCTGGATGATCTGCTCTCAGGAGCTCTGATAGACGAGGCCAAACACCTGGGACACCTGACAACATCTGGAGGCTGCTGTCTCTGTCCCAGTATCACACTGCTTAGATCTTTGGACAGGAAGAGGTCTGGATCAGCAGTGTTTGGTTCCAGAATCACAGGAGTGTAGGAGACCATCATCTTGATCCAGATGTTGATGTGTCCAAGGACCGTTGGAAATTTGAATTTCTGTTTTTACAGGGTTTTTTTTTTTAAAGAAAACACACTTTCCAACAAAGATTGACTCTTCTTTCATGTTCTTTAAAAAACAAGAGTAAAATAAATAAAAAATAAAACCATTTAAAGTTGTATACTCCTCGTCTAAGCCACAATGAGAACATTAGTCCCTCCCATGTGCTTAAAAAAATTATTTGACATGCCTCCCCCTCCTCCCTTATAAGTAACGCACAGTCCCTTACTAAAAGTAGTACTCCAGGATGAAGTATTGCATGTTCTTACAGTTGCCACTGACACACAGTTGTATAAATTTTTAATCCAGAGCTCTAAATATGTGGATGATCCTACATTTTCCCGTCACTATCAGGTAAATGTTTTATTATTTTGGTTTGCTTGTTGTTCTGTGTACTTATTGTGCATTCTCACGCATTTATTTTATGAATGTCGCTTTCGTTTAACTTTATTTTGTGTTGCAGCATTTCTAATCTGTTTTATTTCCTTTCAGTTTTAATCCTTTTTGTATCTTCATCTGCTCTGTCTCTTGTTCAGCTGTAAAACAAAACTTCCCCCCTGAGGATCAATGACAATAAAATGTTTTAGTACATATATATTTTCCATATTTCTTTTTAAAACTCTGAATCACATTTGATGCGATGAGGATTTTTTTAAAACACTGATCAACAGAATAATGATAATGAATAAACATTTTAATGTTAAAAACAAAGCTCCAGTGATTTATGGAAAGTTAGTGCAAATATAAAACAGATTTTGGACAGAACTGTCTCTAACATGACACATTCATGAAGTCAAGTATCAGAGTCTGCTAATTATCTTAGAGATGTGCAAAAAAGCAAAATCGTTTCAGTGCATAAAACGATCATCTGTAAAATCAAACCCAGATCAGATTATTGTTGCATTCATGTGCTGTCAGAATAATCAGAAAATATTTCCCTGACATTATTTAGGTACTTTATAATAGGCAGGTCTGCACAGTGATACAGACATACGTTATTAAACACACACTTCTCAGGCACCTGCTGATGAGCAAACTGCTGGCGTGGCTAACGTCACTTGTTCATTAGACTTTCACACCAACCTGCTGCATTAATATGATCGCAGGATTCTCTGCTCTCTTCTTTTTTCTTTGGCAAACATTTAGAAAACTGGCACAAAGTTTTAACTCTCCTCCAAAAATATCTTCCACACACTCAAAAATCCACAAGAGTCAGTCCCAGAGGTGGGAGTGAGTCACACCTGTGCAAGTCCCAAGTCACTGTGGAGAAAATCAAGCGTGTTGAGTCCCTGCTACAAGTCACATGTCAAGTCATCACAAACTCCTGGAGATAAAATAAGATGATCTGTGGTGGAATGTAACTAAAGACATTTACTCAGATACTGTCAGCACAGATCTGAGTCTTCTCTTCTTGTGCCACTTTATTTACTTTCTAGGAGTTAGGTCATGTGACTCGAGTCCTCCATCTCCGGTCACTCCTGTATCATAGTGTCTCTTTAAAAAGGACCTGTTCAGATCCAGGACACTTTGCTCCATCTTTTCCCACCTATCACCTCTGCACGTTGTCCCACCTCCACATGTAGACCAGCTGGTCTCAGGTCAGTATACGTCCCTTAAAGACGTGACGGTGAGGGATCTGGAGAGTTCTGCAACACTGGTCGGACGCCAAGCGGTAAAACTGACCGTCCTGTTCCTAGAAACCATCAGGAAGCCGTTGGAGCTGAAGCGTCCGGGGATGTTTCCCACATCGAGCCAGATGAAAGGAGCGAC